TTTTAATTGATTTTTGTACAGGGCGAGATGGGTCTACTGTCAGTCTTTTGTATCTAACCAGTTTTTCCAGCACCATTTGTTGAAGAGGCTGTCTTTTCTCCAATGTATGTTTTGGGATCCTTTGTCAAAAACCAAATGACTATGCTATGTGGGTTTATTTCTGGGTCTTCTATTCTGTTCCATTGGTCTTTGTGTCTGGTTTTTTTTTTTTGCCAGTGGCTTGCTGTTTTTGTTCCTATGGCTCTGTAGTATAATTTGAAGTCAGATATTGCAAAACCTCCAGCATTGCTCTTTTTCTCAGGATTGTTTTGTCTACTTGGGGGTCTTTTTTTAAAATGAATTTTAGGATTAATTTTTCTGTTTCTGTGAAGAATGACATTGGAATTTTGATGGGTATTACATTGAATCTGTAGATTGTTTTCAATAGTATAGCCATTTTCGCAGTATTAATTCTGCCAATTCATGAACACGGAATGTCTTTCCATTTTCTAGTGTCTTCAATATTTTATAGTTTTCAATGTAGGGCTGGGGATGTAGCTCATTTGTTGAGTGTTTGCCTAGCATGCATGAGGCCCTAGGTTCAATCCCCAGTACCACAAAAGAATAATAATTATAGTTTTCATTGTAAAAGTCTTTCACTTCCTCAGGTAAGTTTATTTCTAGGTTTTTTTTTTTTTTTAGGATGTGAATGAGGTTGTTTTCCTGATTTCTTTTTCATCCTATTCACTGGTGGTATATGGTTTTTGTATGTTGATTTTGTATTCTGCTAATTTGCGAAGGTGTTTATCAGATCTAAGAGTTTTATGGTGAAGTCTTTAGGGTCTTTTAAGTATAAGATCTATCTGCAAATAAGGATAGTTTTAACTTATTCTTTTCCTATTTGTATCCCTTCTTTTCTTTCTCTTGTTTTATTTCTCTGGCTAGGAATTTAATCACAATATAGAATAAGAATGGAGAGACTGGATACCGTAGTTGCATTCTTGAGTTCAAAGGGAACAATTTCAGTTTTCCTCCACTTAGTGCAGCATTGGCTATAGATTTTCTGTATAGGTTTTCTTTATGTTGAGGTACATTCCTTCTACTTCCAATTTCCTCAAAGCTTTTTATCATGAAGGCATGTTGAATTTTGTTAAAGACTTTTTCTATGTCTATTAAGATGATCATGTGATTTTTATCCTTTATTCTGTTTACATGCTGTATTATGAGTTGATTTGCATATGTCGAACCATCCTTGTATGCCTGGAATGAAAGCAACTTCATCATGGTATAGGATCTTTTTAAAATGTAGTTCAGGGTGCAGTGGCTTCTACCTCAATCCCAGCTATCTGGGAGGAAAAGATTGGTAGGATCGTGGTTAGAGGCTACTCTGGGAAAAAGAGTGAGACCCTCTATGTAAAATAAGTGACAGCAAAAAAAGTGATGTGTCATGGCTCAAGTGATACAAGTACCTGCTTAGCATGTACTCATTCAAACTCTAATAATGCCAGAAAAGAGTTGTTGAATTTGCTTTGGAAGTATTTTATCCAGATTTATTTGCATTCATAAACATATATACTTAATTGAAAAATTAATAAAATTGATGGCTGATGGTGATAGCTTGGTTTGTCACTTTTAGAGTTAGAGTTTACAGATAAGAAAGAGGAGGATTATGACAATGAATTGAGGCTGGAAAATCAGTATGAACTCTTGCTTAGTTTAAGAAGATAGATCTCTCTCTCTATATATATAGACATATCTGGAGCTGTGTGTTCAAACATTAGTCGCTACACATATATTTCCTTGCTCTGTCCTAGAAGCAACACCACTTTATAACAAAGGACAAGCCTACAGTCCAGCTCTTGGCTTTTGATACTATTCTCCAATAAAAAGTCTTGAGTACATTGTATATTTATTACAAATATAGTTATTGATAAGTGAAAAATGAAGTATGTGAACTTTATACAATTGTATCAGTGTGTATGTACTTTTCTTTGACTTGTTTCTTCCCCTTTGTCATGTGTGCTATTCACATATGTGGATTTCATTTCAGTGTTGGATAGTGATATACTCTATTCACACTGTACTACTTTTCACCCATTTTCCTGTTCCCTGATGTTTAAGATGTTGTAAACAGAGCAGCTACAAATTCTCATGGGAGGCCACAAAGATATTTTTACATGAGATTATATCATCTGCATATTGCCTCCTTGTATTTTTCTGTATTGAATCTGAGTGTTAACATCAATACATATGGGAAGAAATAGGCTCTAAAAGAGGCAGGGGAGGATTTGTGGGGAGAATGGAGAGCAGCTAGCAAAGTTTGTGGCTTGTTGCTTGTGACCTCTTGAACAGGCAGAACTTCTTCTGTCATATACACATCTAAGTGCTGGCTTGACCAGATGATGCCAAACCAATGTACAAATCAATAGTGCAATTTATATTTTCACTATCAGTGCTTAAGAGCTGTTGGGTTCCCTACCTACACAAAGACTTGAAACTTTCAGACTTTGTAATATTGCCCATTTGAAGAATGAGACATAGCTGTCATTGTCATTTTAATTCACACTTCCCTGGTATTCAAAGAGTGTTTATTAAGCTCATCTATCAATTACCTGTTTATATCTTTTGCTCACTTTTCTATTTATTTGTACTTTTGTTATCAGTGTGTTATAAATTCTTTATAAATTGTGCATATTAATTATTAATAGTCGAATGTATCATAGTTATACCAGCAAGTTGCTCTCTTTTTAATCTTTAAAAAATATACCTTCTGGTTAATACATCTATAATTTCAATGCAGTAGAATTCATTGACTCTTTACTTTTTGACTTACGCTTTGAATTTGCTTTAAGAATCCTCCCTATCCAAAGATGATAGATGTATCTCCCTATACTTACTTTTATTTATTTATTTTTGGCCATTAGAATGATTTTGTTTTCTAGCCTTTCCATTTAAATGTATTCATGCCTGTATATTTTAAGTTCACTTTTGTGGGTAATGTGTCTTTGGATCTTACTTTTATATTTGGTCTGACAATCTCTTATTTTTAACTGAAATGTTTTTCAGTGTGGATCTAATGTTAATTATTGATATGGTAGGGTCTAAGTCTATTTGACTTGGTATTTGTCTTCTACTTATCCCTTACATTTTTATTCCTCTCTCCCTCCTTGCCTATCTTTTTTTGGTAGGGGAGGTTTTCTACTTTTTATAGGGCCAACACTATGCTATGGCTTACATTTTAATGTGCGTTATTGTGTGCTTATTTGTGTTTTCCAAGGGGGAGGATTTATGTCTTAGACATGTCTTATACTCATCATTATTAATCTATTCATCAAATATGTATTGAACATCTCGTATGCACAGAGACTGGTCTAGGTGTTAGAAATATAGCTGTTAAGACAGATATGAAGCCCACAGTTGGTTCAGGTAAATAGAAAAGCAAGTAGGGAGGTTTTCTCAGCAAGTGAAATGTCTGAACTGAGCCTTGAAGTCTGAGCAGGAACTGGTCAAACAAAGGGAGGGAGACGAGATAGTAGCAGCAATGAGTACACAGATCCAGAGGCAGGAGGAACTGATGTTTTGCTCAGGGAGTGGTGAGACATTCAGCATGGCCAGAGCTCATGTTAGATGGTGCATACAGAGAGTGAGCAGAGGGTGCAGGCTTGCAACAAGTTTAGGGAGTTAGGCGCTTTCAGATTTCTGATTGAATTAGGAATCTAGAACTGCCTCTATGGTATTCATGTCAGTAATATTCACTGATTGAATGATTAGAGAGATTTGAAACAGGCCTACTGCCCATAAAACACGTACCCACTCTAGCTGACTATAGTGCTTTTGTTTTCACTTTGGAGGATTTGGTTTTTGTTTGTTTGTTTGTTTTTAGTAAAGTCACTTTAAATTTCAAATTCTGCTGTAAGAAAAAAAAATTCCCATATTATTCCAGAGGAGTGTCTCTTGTAATATAAAGCAAGAAAGGGATTTGCAGGGTCATGGTAAAGGGAGGGACACTTAGTTTCCCTGTATCAGGACTGCCCCAGATAATATAGCGAGTGCATTTTGTGTACCTCTTAATCAAGTCCTTCCATTTTCCAGGCCTCTGTTCCCTCTTGCATATCATTAGGAATTTGTAAGTGATTCCATCTGAGGGTACTGCCAGCTCTTCATGAGTCTATCCTCCATTAACACCATGGTGGGAATTAGTTTACTCAGTGTTTTGAGCCCTAAAGACTTCCAGTATATGAAAGACTTCTGCGTATATGAAATAATATGATCTCTGATTGCATGTGACATAAACCAACTCAACACAGCTTAGGTAAAAGATGAGAGTTTATTTATAGGATAAGGGAGAGAGATGTCATGAATCTCTAAGGAAAGGACAGGGCTAGGTCTCTGAAAAGGACTTCAAAGGGTCATTTCTCCATGAATGGGGTTGGTTGGTTTGTGGACCAGACAGACACACAAAACATATTCTCTTAACCTGGGTTGTGGGTTTTCTCTGGAGGCCCTGGGCACAGAACAGGAGGAATACTGATCCAGATGAAGCTGGTCCTGAGGGGTGGCTATGTTGCAGTTCATTGGATACGCAGGTGGAGGGGGTGTAAGCTACGTAAGCTCGTGGAGGAAATCTAGAAGAATTAAGAGTGTGTGTCAAACCTTACTGTGGGCCACACTAAGAAGGCAAACCCATTTCCTCTGGGGATCATTTGCTGGCCTGGGACTCAGTCTCAGACATGAGCTGGCTCCAAACAGAAATCTCACAGTAGGCTTCTTTGCTCCCAGCTAACTCAACATGGGAACAGAAGAGGAATCAAATGTTCTTACTAAGAAGGAGGTCTCAGAGTGGAAGTAAGGGATGTGGTGGGACTGTGGCCACATTCCCTCCTAAACTTGGAAGACTGGTTAGTGAAACCAGGTCTGAGGAGTTAAAACAAGAGAACAGGTGTGGGTGCAATAGGGGATGTTCTCCTCCAGGTGCCCTCATTTCTCAGTAAGTCTTCTTCCTCTTTCTGACATAGAGTGAAAGTGTCCCAAGGACAAGAGCCCAGGGCTCCAGACTGCCATCAAGATGGTGGGTGAAGGCCCCTACCTAATCTCAGATCTGGACCGGCGAGGTCAGCGGAGATCCTTTGTGGAGAGATATGACCCCAGCTTAAAGACCATGATCCCAGTGCGACCCTACGCTAGGTGAGTCAGGTGGAGAATTGAAGGGGGAGTCAGGGCAGGACCTCTGGGAATAATTTCTAGCCCATCAGGAGAGTGGGCACTACCTCTGCTCCCCACGTGCTATTCTATATGCTTGTCTTTTTGTCCACCCACACATTCGTTCATTTATTGGCCACTGATTTGTTGCCTCTTCCTGTCCACTGGTGAGAGGCAGCCAATAGCTAAGGTTAAAGGAGGGCTTTCCACGTGCCAGGATCTGTCCAAATGCTTTCCAAGCATCTCATGTACTGTTCACAGCCACCTAGAAGTACTGCTACTATCTTTATCTGATAGGAGAGGAAACTAGGGCACAGAGAGGTTAAGTAATTTCCCTAAAATTCAGCAGGTAGCCTTTACCTTTTAACAAACTTCCTCAACATTTAACAGCTTAAAACAAATGCCACTTATTTAGCCTACAATTTTATGGGTGACCCATCAAATAAAGCAACTTCATCTGGCCTTGACCAGGCTTATTCATGTGTCTGCTGCTCAGCAAGGTGGCTGTGCTTCTTGGGGTTGACTGACTGTTGGCTGGGACAGTGGGGACAACTGGGCCACACAGTCACTCAGCCTCTTGCAGGCTAGCTCAGGCTTGATTACACAGGAAGGTGCTGGGCTTCCAAGTGAATGGATGGAGGCCTGAAGAGCTCTAGAGACATAGGACTCACAACTGGCTGCTTCTGGTGGTGCGTTCTGTTGGCCAAAGTGAAGTTGGAGTCAGCAGAGATTCAGAGTGTGGGGAAATAGCCCCCACCTCTTACTGGAAGAAGCTACTAGGTCACATTTCAAGGGGCTCGATACAGATGGGGAGAGACACTGGGGTCATTTTTGAGCTCCAGGATAGGAACTTAGACTGCCTGACTTCTAAGACTACATGCTTAACATAGCAGTAAATTACATTATCATATTCATTATTAACAGTAGCCTAACCATAACATAATAAAATGCAGCCTTTCCTTCATTAAAATGACCCTGTGGCTTGTTCTATGAACAACAGAAGGATAAATGGCATCTCTGTAGTGAGGTGACATTCCACTGCTCTCTCCCAGCATCTCTGGACCAAACATGTACATTTGAGTCCTGTAAGGTGAGAAGTGAAAGTTGAAAGGTGGGGGCATGGGCTATTGTCCTTAGCAGGGAAAACTCTAACTGTTCATTATGTTAGCTGAGTTTAAAATTGCTTTGTGGAGAGGCAATTCAGGGTAGTGACGATGAGACTCTGGAGTCAGTGAGCAGTGGGTCTGAATTCTTGTTCTCAGATCACTCTGTGCCTCCATGTTTTTGTCTATGAAATGGGGTCAGAATGTTACTCTGCTAACTCATCTGTCTGAGTCGTGAGGATTACATGAAAGCCATCTTATACGAAACTTTTGCTATGTGCTGGACATGTAGTACCTTGTTAATATTAGCTTAGGTTCTCTCAAAAGTCTCAGTCAAGGTCTTGGAAGCAGGTAGCTTATTTGGGAGGCGATCCCAAGAAGTGTGTGTGTGGGGGGGGCAGATTTAGAAAGAGTGAGGCAGGAAAGGAGGAATAGATAACATGGGTGTGTCACTGCTGTGGGCAAGTGGGATAGGACTCTGTTGGTTTTCCTGAGAAATGTCCAATTTTCCACCCAAAGGATGTGAGGTGAGGCATTCCTTCATGGGCTCTCATACTCCAATAATTAAGAATCTTCCTCTCCCCATGCATTAACCCTTTGCAATTCTGGGCTGTGCTTATTCTCCTGAGAAGGTCCTGAAACAGATGGTGGAAAGAGATGTGATATAGATTTGACATGGGATGCTGCTAGCATGAGCGTGCAGGAAGCTGTCCCCCACAGTGGAGAGGTGGATGGATGCAAGTGTTCCTGTACAGCATCTGCTACAACAAAGAGCTCTTAAATCTGGAAAATAACAAACACTCAGTAATTGGTAGATCATACTCTGTGTCTTTGACTTTTATTCTTAGACGGTTTATGTTTCAAGAGCCAAACCAAGGTCTATTCTTCCTTCATTTCCTATTCCTGCTTTCCTCTTGCTTTTCTTCTTCCTCTTCCTTCTTTACTTCTTCCCCTTCTCATTCTTGTATCTTCCCACCTTCCTTTTCTTCAGCTTCCTTCTTCTCCCCTTCATGTCCATCCTCTGTTTTCTCCTCCTCCTCTTTTTCCTGCTTCCTTCTTTTTCTTTTTTCTTGTTTTTTTGGGGGAGTACTGAGGATTGTCTTATGCCTGCTAGGCATGTGCTCTACCACTTGAGCTATGCCCTCGACCTCTTTCTTTTCATCTTTCCTCTTCTTCCCTTCCTCCTTTCCTCTCCCTCTTTGCCTTCCTTATCTTCCTCCTTTTTCTGGCAAGTAATGTTTATGTAGCACTTTATATATGTTAATCCACTCAGCCCTCATACTAAACCAGGACTTGCCTCCAGCTCTTGCCCTCTTGGATATCTCACCCCACCCTAGCACACCCTGCTCTGGATCTTCCTTCCCCATGCTTCTTAAAGCAAAAGACATCAATCTAACCCTTCTAATGGTCAGCTAATGGATCACCTTTCCTCCTATATCAAATACAACAAGCACCTTCTTTTCTACAAGGTGGTCATGAGGTTCAGATATCAGTCAATGTTCAACGACTGGTTCATGGAAAAAATTTCCTTATGGTGTAGATACCACACCACAGTCAATTTCAAACTATCAATATGACATCACCAAACAGCAGGTTGGAAAGAGATCCACAGTGGCTCACCGTTCTAGGCTATTTCCACCATACAGATGATAAACAGATGCAAATAACTGTAAGAGAACAGATAATAGTAAAACAATTGGAAACGATGAGTTTTGAATATGATTACCTTTGCCATTAAGATAGTTATGTAAATTTATGTAACTTAATGTTGAATATTGGCTGTGTTTAGCAACTGACTTGCCAAAATTCCTGAAGAGTTAGCAATTGATTCTCATGAGCTAGCCTAAAGAGCTAATGAATGCAAGTCCCAGGTTCTGTGTGTGGCTGTGGTTGTTTTGTGGTTACAAATTCAAACCAGGGGCTCGGGGAAATGACCCAACACCTGAACATGAAGCATCTCACCATCTGTAGGCTGGCACCCAACCCCGTGGATGATGCAGGGCTGCTCTCCTTTGCCACATATTCCTGGCTCACACCTGTGATGATTAGAAGCTACAGGCACACATTGACTGTGGACACCCTGCCGCCATTGTCACCGTATGACTCATCTGACACCAATGCCAAAAGGTACCAGGATTCACTTGTGTTGCCTGGGCGTGCGGAACCGACTCTAGCAAAAGGTTCTGTCAACTCTTTTCTGTCAACCCACTTCTCCCATGTGGAATTTGACACTTTCTCAGTGGCTGCTCCATACCAGTTGGCTGGACTGCCTCCAGTTCTGGAGGAGCTGAAGATTGGGAAGTGATGGTGGGGAGAGATGGCTCAGGAAAGCTACAGCCTGAGGCTCGGGACCATTGGGCTGTTTATAGGAGCACTACATCAGGACAATGGTGGCTGGGACCTCGCTTTCTCTCTGCTGGTGCGACCCTACCTGGGCTGCTGCATGTGGCTCTAGATGTCCTTCTGGCTCCTCTTTAAGAATTGTTACTGGATTTCTACATTACAAAATGTATTTAGGGTGAACCAAATGAAACTGCCCATAGCTGCCAATTTTAACTGGTGAAAATGAAACTGTCATTGGTTCAATCTAATTCACATACATTGTAAAAATTGTAAGCAGCAGAATTAAAGCAGTGGAAATATTTCTACCACATTCCTCTTTACCTCCCCAAAGGCAAACACCATTAATATGTAGATGTGGCCCCGCCCAGAATTTTTCTACTTGGATTAAACATACCCTGTCCTGCTATCTTCTGCAGAGAAATGCCTCTTTTGCCTCCCCACTCACAGGGTGTGCTTTTTACATTGAAAGAGAAAGTAGGGCACACTATACAGCTGTTGATGATAGCTCTTTTCAGTTGAAAGTTGATAAAGACCTGTCCATGTCTGCACAAAGACATCAGCTTCATTCTTCATAACAGCACATGGAACACTGTGGTCCTGATGACCTAGAATGCCTTAAACAAGAAGGAAGGTCTCAAAGCCCCTGCATTCATTTCTCCTGAAAGTTACCCTATCTTTGGCTACATGAGATAGAGTGCATGGCCTAGGCTGGGGTATATACTAAACGGTTGAGAATGGTAGCCATCATCTTGCAATCACTTTTCTAGAGGTGTGCTTCTCCTTCTCCTCAGCCCTACCTTGAAGAAATCCCAAACAGTGGTAATTTCTAGATCTATAGTCTAGAGAAAGCTGCCAAGAAGAGTTGAGAGAAAGGGCTAGGGTTAGGGTTAGGGTTTGGGTTGGGGTCTGCTGAGTATTGGATTTTCCTTTTAACTCTCTGGCCAGTATTTCTCCATCTGTTTTTATTGTTTCCTTCTATCTACCCAACACCAGCTTGTGTCCTCTTCTTTCCATGCTAGCCTCTGTTCCTAGTGGGTGAGATTTCACCCGCTCCAAGGTCTTAAATAACAAGCAATGCTGGCTACTGAATGACACGCCCACCTATAGTCCAGGCCTCTTCCAGATTCTGAACCCTCATCCCGATGTCAGACTGGATGGCAGCACTTGGATGCCTCTCAAGCATTTATACCTAAGCCTTCTTTGTGTGTGTGTGTGTGTGTGTGTGTGTGTGTGTGTGTGTGTGTGTGTTTGCTGGGAATGGAAGAACCTGGGGCCTTACACATGCTGAGGCCACATGCTGGGGCCAGCACATTCCTGGCAGTCATCCTCCAACTGACAATGCTCTCTTCTTCCTCTTTCCCTGCCTCTGCAAACTGCATTCACACAGTTGGTCAAGCCAAGAAACTGGGCTCCACCCTTGATCCCCCTTCTCCTTTCCTCCCACATCGAATCCATCTGCAAGTCCTTTGTTGCTCCCTGTCTACCTGTCTTTGAGTCCTCTGCCTCACCAGCTGCCTCTTACCTGGATGCCAGCAGTCTCCAACTGTGGTCCTTGGGTCTTGCCTGGTCTCCCCCATAATCCTTCACTCAGAGGCTAAGGGATCTTTCAGATATAAAAAAGGATCTTGTCACTTGTCACAACAGCCTAAAAGCCTGGAACAGCTCCCTTGTACTTGGCATGCAATCGAAGCTCCTTTCTGAGGCCTAAGAGGTCCTGTGAGATCTGACTCAGCCCCCTTCTCCGCACACCATATTCCTGTCACACTGGCCAATCAGGTCTTTGAAATGAACAGTCTTTTCGTTGTTGTTGTGGTACTGGGGCTCGAACTCAGGGCCTACACCTTGAGCCACTCCACCAGCCCTGTTTTGTGATGGGTTTTTTCAAGATAGAGTCTTGCAGACTATTTGCCTGTGCTGGCTTGGAACCATGATCCTCCTTATCTCTGTCTCCTAAGTAGCTAGGATTTCAGGCGTGAGCCACCAGCACCCTGCTAAAATGTACTATCTTTTTTTGCCCTTGAAGAAGACCTTTCTCTTGACTTCTCAGTCACCCTTATTTTCTTGTCAGAGCTGATGTTGTGGCCATAAAGCAGATGATAGAAAGGTCTGGAAAATGTCCCAGTACCACACATTAATACCGGCTTTTGTCTAGGCATTGTCTCCTGCTCCTCCCTTATCTCACCTGCTTGGAAGAGGAAGGAAGGAGAATGATTGCTGCTTGTCCTTCAGTCCCACTGCAGGGATAAGATCTGTGTCATGGCCTCTCGCAGGGATTTGTCCATCAGAGCTGCTTCAGGTAGCATTCCTTTCACTTTTCCTTTTTTTTCATTGCAGATTTCGCATCCTTTGGGATGAGGAGATAGAAAGGGCGGGTCCTGAGAAGGCCTCTCTGGGCCGAGTGGCCTGGAGATTCCAGAGGACGCGTGTTCTGATGGATGTCGTGGCCAACGTCCTGTGCATAGTCATGGCAGCTATAGGGCCAGTGAGTAGGGCTGGCCCTTTATCTGTCTTATCTCGCAGGTCTCCAGCTGGGCCAAGCAAGCCATTAGTTGCTTTCTCTACGAGCTGGTGGGTTTAGCACGTTGTCATTATCTTTGTGTTCCTTGGGGGTGAATTTTCATAAAGCTAATCCTTGTCGAGCACAGCAGCAGCCACTGAAATTAATTAAAAAGTTTGCCTTGTAAAGTCAGCTTGCTGACATTATGAGGCCTCCCAGTGCCAGCCTCCACCCACAGTGCCCTCTCCTCTCCCCACCGTGCTGTTTTACAGACAGTTCTCATTCACCACATCCTCAAGCACACCGAGAGTACCTCTGGGGAAGTCTTGGTTGGCATCGGCCTGTGCCTAGCCCTTTTTGCCACTGAGTTTACCAAAGTCCTCTTTTGGGCTCTTGCCTGGGCCATAAATTACCGCACAGCGATCCGGTTGAAGGTGGCGCTCTCCACCCTGGTTTTCGAAAACCTGGTGTCCTTCAAGACCTTGACACATGTTTCTGCTGGTGAGGTAAGCTTGTCCAGAGAAGTCTAGCTTTAGATACTTGTTCTTGTTCAAAAGCTCCCTCTCACTGGTCCATGCGCTGCCCATCATGTCCTACCTCCCTGCTAAGTGAGATGGTGGGGATCAAAAAGGGAGGAATTCAGAGAAAGGAGGCCCCTGTTCACGCTGGAGAAGTCCTCATTCCAGCTGGAACAGGGCTCACTGGTGACCTCACCCAGTCCCACTGATTGTCCATGAGGACACTGAGGCAGTATAAAACATGCTGTGGGCATTTAATAAAACTGATTGACTAGCTGGATGTAGTGGTTCACACCTGCAGTCTCAGCACTTAGAGGCTGAGGCAGGAGGATAGAGAGTTTGAGGTCAGTCTGGCCTACGTAGTGAGACCCTGCTCAAAAAAAATTGATTGATTGATGAGCCAATAATTTGAATTGTATGGTCTCTGGGTTGCCAAAGACACAATAAAACCCATGTCTTCTGTATTTCAGAGCTGACATTTCTTAAGCCCTTAATCCTTAGCAATAAAATCCTTGCTGCTTATTTAAAAAAATGTCCCTAGTCAAGGGAGCCCCAGGTGACATGAGGTAAGAGAAAGGACTTGCTAAGTTGCTCCTTCATTGTGTTCAAAGCATCCCACATCAATTATGATTAGATTCTGCACATAACAGGAAACCAAAAATAACAGAGGATTCAACAATATGTATTTATTTCACTCCATTTAAAGGGAGTATGGAAGAGGGCAGTCTTGGGGTGGTAGGGTACCTTGGGGTCCTCCTGTTTCTTCATCATTGTCCTAACATATGACTCCTCTAATGGCTCAGGATGGCTACTAGAAATCCAGCCATCCCAACCATGTTTCAGATGGTTGTTAGGAGGAAGGAGAGAAAAACAAGAGGAAAGTGTTTTCTAAGTTGAGTCAGCTACTTTTAAGAATTTATCCCCATGTTCCCATCCATACAGTCACACAGAGCCTTACCTCTCACAGTGGGCTGGCCACACTCCTCCCACAAAGGAGACCAGGAGATGCAGTCTGTTGCTGCCCTGAACAAAGCAGAGTTGTGTTAATCCAGAAGGGCTGATAGGTGCAGGGGAGACAACAAGCTGTCTGCAGCAGGTTTTAGCTATGTCCATTGCTCTACATCTTGCTTCTTTGGGATTCTCAGTGCTAAGGGACTGGCTTCTCCAAAGTCATGCCAGAATGAGACATCAAAATTCATCATGTTGGTGACCCTCCCTTTCCCAGGCATTTGGAAAGCCTGGGTTGAGGATACATCTGAGTGACCCTTCCCAAGCCTGAACCCATATGTTTCTTTGCAGGTGCTCAATGTACTATCAAGTGACAGCTATTCCTTGTTTGAAGCTGCTTTGTTTTGTCCCTTGCCAGCCACCATCCCAATCCTAATGGTCGTTTGTGCAGTGTACGCCTTTTTCATTCTGGGGTCCACAGCTTTCATTGGGATATCCGTGTATGTCATATTCATCCCGATCCAGGTAATGATGTGCCTGTGCAATTGGAGATCCTTTCATTTGGCTTTCACGGAATCAGAGAGAAGGCCCATTTCCAGGGTGTGTGCCTGAAGCCTGTGCCTGCTTGGAGCTCAGCTGGCACAGTGTGTTTTTTCAAGAACTTGAATTTGAATGCTCTGGGGAAGGGGACAGCTTCCTCAGTTTGCCAAAGTCCTTGCATTCAGGCAATTCATTCTATTACTCCCTGATTCCCAGTGGGTTCCCTCAGGCCACCTTAGCCACCACAACTCAAGGGAAGGACTCAACTAAGGGTCTCAGACAACTTTCCTTAGAACTTCTCTGGCACTTGCGCTCCAATCCCTGGATTTTTAGGCCAACTGCAACTCAGCAATTCTCCCTGAACACAGTGCTTGTACCTTGATTTCAGATGTTTATGGCAAAGCTCAATTCAGCTTTCCGAAGATCAGCAGTTTCCATGACAGACAAGCGAGTTCAGACAACAAATGAGTTTCTGACCTGCATCAAACTGATTAAAATGTATGCCTGGGAGAAATCTTTCACAAACACCATTCAAGGTAGGACAAGAGGCTGCTTAGAGAGCCACTTATGTTGTAGAATGTGCTCTTCTAAGGGATTCTTAAGGTTCCTGGGGCCAGTGTTGCAGAAGGGGGCTGAGGGGACCATCTGAGCTGCTCTGCAGGTCAAAGGATTTTTCCAAGGTTGATAGCAGTTTTATAACAGATTCAGACATCTGTTCTGATGAACCCAAGGGTGAAGACATATGGTTCGGTCTTCACTGGGACATATGGGTCCTAGTACTGACCAGGTGCCTTTCACAAAAATAATCTGCTAACACATTGGATTAGCAAAAAAGTAGGCTCAAGCTACCTGCTTGACTTAGAAGATGTCTACTCCCTCTCCTGCCCTGCACTTCCCCTTGTATGTCCTCATCTGCAGCAGCTCCATGTGTTTGGCTCACTGACTCAGTATTCCTTGAGCAAACCCAAGGATGCATCTATAGGTTTTTAAAGTTGATATGAAAACTATTTCAATCAAATACAAATGCAAATCTTAATTGCAGGGACATTTACATAATTGTCGACATGAACTCAGGTGGGTTGGTCGACTAATGGTCTGAATCATGGTTGCACTTGCTCTCTGGATCTATAGTGACAGCATGTAATTGGGGCTGAAGATGTATCTGCACTTGAGGGAGTGGCTTTAGAAAGCCTGCTTCTGCCAACCATGGTGGTGCACGCCTATGATCCCACACTTGGGAGGCTGAGCAGAAGGATCATGAGTTCAAGACCCTCCTTGGCTACTACATGGTAAGAACTTGTCTCAAAGAAAGAAAACCTGCTCCTGAGCTTGCTGAAAGAAAGGCCCCCGGCTGGGACACCAGTTGTCCTGCAGGACTTCACTAAAGACTCAGAAATCCTTCCCATACTCCAAGCTCAACTTAGTACAATTTAATTTGATATGATTCAATCTGACTTAATTCAACGTAACCCAACCCAGTGTAACTCAAGTCAGTTTTGTTCAGTAAATGTATATCAAATTTCTACTATGTGTAAAACTGCAGAAGCTGCACAAATGGTCAGGAAAAGGGAGGATGGATAAGTAACTCAAAGCTAGCCCTAAGTGTGTTGGGTCTGACTCCAGAATATACCCAGAATCCTCTGCTTCTCTCAGTCCCACTGAGAGAAGCCCAAGCCAGTCTCCTCTCGTGGACACTCCTGCTTTCCCCTCTCCCCACTGCAATCCATTATTTAAAATATTGTTGTTGTTTTTTGGCAGTACTAAGATTTAAACTCAGAGCCTCATGCTTGCAAGGCAGGCACTCTACCACTTGAGCCACTCTGCGTTATTTAAAATATTAATTGGATCCTGCCTCTCCCCTGCTGGAGGCTTTTTAACGGCTTCTTATCATCCTTGGATTACTGAAATTTGGATCTTTCGAATGAAACCTAAATTCCTTTGTTTTCTTTCAGTTTGGACTGGAGTTTGAACTCAGGACCTTGTGCTTGTTTTTTTACCATTTGATCTGTCTGCCCTTCTACCCCCCAGCCCATTTTTACCTTAGTTATTTTTCAGATAGAGTCTCATGCTTTTTGCCTGGGGCCTCTCAGACCATCTAAGTAGCTGAGATTACAGACATTTACCACTATGTCTGACTTGTTTGTTGAGATAGGGTCTCACTAACTTTTTGACTGGACTGGCCTTGAACTATAGTCCTCTTGATCTCTGTGTCCTGAGCCTGTATCACCATGCCTGACCACCTTCTGTTTCTAGAGCAATATGTATTACTTCTTGATGCCTCAGGAACTTTGCACTTGCTATTGCCCCTGCCTGGAATGCTCTTCTGCTAGATGTTCATGGTGGCTTTGCCTTGACTTTAGGTCTTCTCTCAATGTCACTGACTCAAAGAGGATTTCTGGACAAGTGTCCCAAACATGCCCGTACCATTGCTTCTTCGTCACTTCACCTTGACCATGTCTTTCAGATCACCCAACACTATTTGTAATCATGTTTGTTTATTTATTTCCCATCTCCGTCACTGGCAGAGGCCTGAGACCCCGTTTACTCCCATATTCCCTAGCACCTGACACAGCACCTGACACACAGTAGGCATTAGACTAAAATGTGCTGAAAGAGTGGACAGGTGAGCTAACCACTCTGTCATATAATGTGAGGGAGGTGCTACAGAGGAACTGAGAAGCTCCAGAGGGCTCAGGAATGGGGGGAAGCCCCCAGGTAGGAGCAAAGGTGATGGTGGGGGTGTGGGGTGCACCGGAGAAAGGGATGGCTGGGCAGTGGATAACTGAGCTTGGGGTCCAGCTCTGCCTTGCCACCTACAAGGCAAACAACCTGCAGAGGCTGTGCATCCTCCTGTCCAAAGGTCATTGCAATAGCTGCTCCCTTGTCAACCATGGTGACCAGGACCTAATGGGACAGTGTGTGGAGAGGGCAGCATGGACAGTGCGGCTGGCGTGTGTTCATATGGAAAGCTCTTGCAGATGAGGCTGGAATTGGCCTTGGGAACTGTAAACACCAGGGATCTAATTTGTGAGCAGGGATAAGTCCTGGGGACCTTGGGATTTAGGAAATGGTATGCTCCTCAGCTTTTGTGGCTGTTCTTGGGACAATGGCTCCAATTTAGCTGTCCTCAGGCCAGCCAATTCTGCTTGACTCCTACAGTATTTATAAACTTTTTTCCAACTGACTCCCAACATTTGAAAGTAGGGATGCAGCTCAGAAAAGTCCAGGTCTCAGGCTTCAGAACAGCAGAGGCCTGGTAACATCTGGCTTCCTGGCACTGAGCTACGGCTGCCCTGTTGGTCGAGGTCTGGGCTCCCCCTTCTGTTACATTCTACACTCTCCCTCTGGTCTCACCCTCCACACACTCCAGTCATTTATGGCCCCTGTGGGCATCTGAGTGTAGGACTCTTTACACATATGTAGAGAGAGTAGCCAGAGTGGACGGGACCTTGGAGGTCACCTGCTTATGGCAGCAACATGCTCGTACTGAGCTCCTAGTCTGTGCTGGGTTTGTACCCAGGGTTTCTTGAACTTTTACCTTTATACTTTGTGACAGGAGCCATTAACCCTCAGAAATGTCAGGCAGAAGACATACATTTCCTAATGCTGGTGCTTGGCATACAAACTCTGACCACCTCAGACTGTTTTCTATTTTTCAGATATAAGAAAGAGGGAAAGAAAAATACTGGAGAAAGCTGGATATGTCCAAAGTGGGAACTCAGCCCTGGCCCCCATTGTGTCCACCATAGCCATCGTGTCGACCTTCACCTGTCACATCCTCCTGAAACGCAAGCTCACCGCCCCAGTGGTAAGAACCACTTCTAGATCTGGTTGTTTTTGCTCCCCATCCCCAGCAAGGCCCAGGTGGGAAGTCTGTCCCACCTCTGTCCCACCCTGGCATCAGAACCTGCAACCATGATAGGCCAGATGATGCTAACATCTGACCCTGACTTTTTTTGTTTTTGGTACTGGGGTTTGAACTCAGGAACTCACACTTGATAGGCAGATATTCTACCACCTGAGCCACTCTTCCAGCCTGTTTTTTGGCCTGGACTGGCCTCCTGATATCAACCTCCCAGTGGCTAGGATTACAGGTACCCCAACCTCTTTTTTATTTTTTTGTGGTACTGGAGTTTGAACTCAGGACCTATGCCTTGAGCCACTCCACCAGCCCTTTTTTTTTTTTTTGTGATGTATTTTTTTGAGATAGCGTCCTGCAAACTAGTTGCCTGGGCTCATTGCGAACTGTGGTCCTGCTGATCTCTGCCTCCCAAGTAGCTAGGATTACAAGTGTGAGCCACTGGTGCCTGACTAAGGTACCCCAACTTTTAAACAAGCACTTGGGCTGCCAAGGAGCCCCCTTTATGAGTCGTCCCTGTCTATGGCAGGCGTGGTGGTACTTAATATTTGAGGATAATTTTATACTTGAGGAAAAACCGAAACCGAAGGAGAACTTGGCTGTTTTGTCCAGATACTGTGCACTGTAAACAGGCGAACTTGAGGCCATTCTCTCAGTGGGCAGAATTGGATGGAGGTTGGAAGAGGCAGGGTGGGGTCCAGGTCTGCCCTGTTTAAATCCTGACTCCACTACTTCCTAGCTATGACTTGTGGCAAATCACGGAATTTGGTCCTGGTTTTATTGGTTTTATTGCCTGCTAACGTGCTTGTGAGGACTGAATGAATAACTTTAGGTAAAGCAGGTGGAACTGCTAAGTGGAACTGGTCGCTAAGTGCTGGGTCAGCGTTTGCTGTGCTTGCTAGCCCAATTCTCACCTAGGCCAGATGGGTGTGAGTTGTGAACCTGAGAAATTGGGGTGAATGTGAGAGCTACCTGCTTTACAAGGGACCTGAGAATTCAAAGTAAAGAAACACTGAGCTGCAGGGAAAATGGCCCTAACCTGATGTCAATAAGATATTAAACCAAGTGTCTGCAGCACAAGTAGCTGTAGGAAAATTGAGAGAGGAGGGGCAGGCAGGGGTGGTGAGAGAGAAGCAAGTATCTCAGCTTACAAAGGAAGCATGTACCCCAAATGAGGGATCTTAGGGGAAGGGAAGGGTCATGTTTGAGCAGGCAGGATGCTCTGACCATCACTGGGGCTGTTAGTTCCATTACTGCCCTCTGGTTTTGTGTGTTTTTGTTTTTCCAGGTTCTGCAGCAAGTAATAACTCACGCCCAGGCTACTGTCACACACTCTAGGGCTTTGAACCCAAAGCCAGAACAAATGGCAATCATGCACCAAAGCCCAATGGTTATGGCTTCTTTGCATGAGCACAAACAACAGTACATCAAGCAAATCAATTTGAAACAAAATTACATGCATGTAGTTAATATTTTCCAGTGTGATGTTGTAGAAGAAAGCTAGAGTCAAATCAAATCCTGTGAATGCAAAGCTCTTATTTCTTAGGCTCAGAATCCCTTGCATTTAGCTTCTCTGCCAAGGCCTCATCAGTAAGAGGTCAGTCCTGAGGGGCTTGGTCATGGCAGGCAGCCAGGTGTTTTGTCTACCAAGGCCTGGGTGTCCTCAGTCAAGGTGGTGTTTTGGGATCTGAGAGAGTTGGGTTCTCTGTGGGGATGTATTTAGGCCCAGATGTGATAGGAACATCCTTCATCATCCTCTTAGTAAAGTAACTAGAATTAGTTGAAGCCTGAGGCCCTGCCCATGGGTCCCGCTCAACAGCAGGTGGGATCTCTCAGGATTTGTGGTAGGCAGTTATTAATTTCTTAGAGAGGTGGCTAGAGAGCAGCTGCTAATTACAAGTTGGACACATGAGATGAAATCTGAGCGATGAGATCATGCATCCAGGTTACTGGTAGAAGGGTGGAAACTTGTCTTCATTAAGCATCTCCGGTGTTAGCCACCTCCTACACAGAGCTCAGTGAGAAGGACTCCAGTGAAGACAGGAGGTGGCTTTTGGGGTGCTCTGATGCTGAGCATGGGAGGCAGGATATAGAGACCAGGTTCTGGGAGCTGGAGAGCTGGAGGTCACTCTAGCAGCTAGCAGGGTGAACTGAACGGTCCTTCCAGGCAGCCACCTTCTCCATTCCTGGGGTTTTGCGTGTGTGAAAAAGGAGACTTTCACCCTGAGCAGCTGAGAGCATGGTATGACCTGGGAGAATCTGCAGAAGTTTGAGTGAATGGTATAAGTTTGAATGAAGATGTGATAGGGAGGGATATTTCCAAAGGCATTCAGTGAAGGGCTTTGCCTCACATCTTCTTCCCTCTGGATCACAGAGACAGGGGGATGTACTTCCCACCATTTCAGTGAAAATCAAAAGGCAAAATAGATTAAGAAGTCACTGCCCTGAATTTGCCAAAGAATGGTTTTTGAGCCATGAAATGAAAAATGTTCTTCTGTGAATTTCAACTGTTCTGCTGTTCCTTACGTCAGTAAGTTTATCCCCCCGTGGACAGGATGGTTTAGAGCTAAGGCCACTTCCTATCCTAAATGCTCATACCTCTCTTTTGTTCTTCAGGCATTTAGTGTCATTGCCATGTTTAATGTAATGAAGTTTTCAATTGCAATCTTGCCTTTCTCGGTCAAAGCAGTGGCTGAAGCCAGAGTCTCTCTAAGGAGAATGAAGGTATAACTAACACTGGGTGAGTAGGGAAGAGGGATTTCATTTGAGGGTGGGAAAATCCCCAAATTCCCGGGGTGCTCTACCAATGCAGTGGACAAGTCACTTGTTGGATTGACATTGGGAAAAGAGTATCCATTCAGAGTTGGAGCAGTGAATGTGCATGGAGGGGAGCTGTCAGAGTTTTGTAGGTGGCCTGCCCTTGTAGAAAACACAAGATGGTGTCTCTGTACATGGAGATGATGTTCCTGAACTCTGTTCTTCATCAGAGCCATAAATCTTAAGTTGTTTCCACAGTGGGGGTGAGCTTGCCCTGAGCAATTCACTTTTACCTTGCTTATCCTCTGCTGGGTGTGGTGGTGGGGTGCCTTGTCATTGTCACCAATTAGTCACTTTACTCATCCATTAAAGAATTACTAAGTGTCTCCTGTATCTAAGACATGTGAGAGATGCAAATATAAGAGAGTCTTTATTTCTAAGAGTATGTCATTCTGGCATAGGACCAGGTACCCTAGTAATTTATGTACATGGTACAGACAAGAAGGGCAGATAAAGTGGTCTTGCAGTTCAGGTGAGGAAAGGAAACTGAAGGGCTTTTTAGTGAAGAAGACATCCTTTCAGACATCCGTGAAATGACTGGGTGGTCTTATTCACCGTGACCAGAAACCTGGAAGCCATCTCAAATATCCTTGATTCCTGGGCCCTTGTCTTACTTTCCACATCCAACCAATCTAGAACCCTGCTGAGTCACCTTCTGGTCACCATGTGGCCTCAGTTTTAACAGGCCATTGTAAGATTTGACTGGAATATGCCCTCTTAACCACTTTTTGAGCGCAACACAAGAATCACCACCATCACGTTCATTCGTATATTTTGTGATTTCAGAAACAAAAGTCCAAAGGTGCTTCTCAGACTAGCAGAAGGGTGTTTTTTGAACCCCCAACTTCTACTCTGTCACTATCACCATCACCTTTATTCAGAAACCCCATAATTTTGAACCTGAACTATCATAGTGATTTATAAACCAAGCCTCCTTTTCCAACATTGTCCTCCTCAAATCCATATTGCACTTAGCCCCTAGAGTGCTACTAAAATCTTTGTAGGATGACTGGTTTACCTGCTCCAAATACTTGAATCCTAGTCCCCCCCACCCATCCTGAACTCAAGCTTTCCATCAGTGGGTCCTCGGCTTTGTTCACTTTGCTTCCCATCCCCTTCCTCCTTGAGCTCTGGGACCCAGTAGTGCTGCATCACTTATTTCATGCCTCCCACACCCCAACAAGCCAGGCTTTTGTCTGATTCCCTGTCTTTACCTATGCTGTGTCCTGCACTCAAATATCCTCGTTCTATCCCCGCTCCTTCATCTTTGATTGACACTCAGTGCAGCTGAGGTACCAACTACATGGACCTCAGGATGAGGAACCCAAAGTTCCTTCACTGGCAACTACAGTTCTTTGTCCTTGTCACATTTCACTGACAAGTCCTATGCATGTTCCCATTTACTTCCAGACAAATCTTTTCAAAGCAAGAGTGATGCTATTTACCCCATAGCCTGGCTTGATGACCACTTGGCAATGTTTTGTTGAACTGAGCTGAGTGGGGATCTGGGAAGTAGACAGAGCAGAGACTGAGCACATGCCCTTGGTTCCATTTGCTTCAGAGTCAAGCAGTGAAGAGCATCATGAAAAAATTGACTAAGACTGACTTTCTTGGGCACAAGGGTAGCATTCTCAAATATGGGAGACTCAGTTAAGAGGCATCCGTCCCAGGTAGTAGCCTAGTGGAATGAGAAGACTATTTCTGCTGCAGCTTCTCCAGGGAATAGCTTCTGGGTAGTCCTGGATGTCCTAAGTAGAATGGATTTGGGATCATTAGAAGATACAGTTAGGTAATGTCTGCCCACTTAATTTTGTCTCTTTAATCTTAGAAAATTCTCATAGCTAAAAAACCCCCATCTTACATCACCCAACCAGAAGACCCAGATACTATGTTGCTTTTGGCAAATGCTACTTTGACATGGGAGCAAGGAGCCTACAGGAAAAGTGACCCAAAGAAAGTGCAGAACCAGAAAAGGCACTTTTTCAAGAAACAGAAGCTGGACATACACAGTGGGCATTGTCCATCAGCCCAGGGATCTACCCCAGAGGAGCAAAGTGGCAGCCCCAAATCAGTTCTGCACAATATAAACTTTGCCGTGAGAAAGGTGGGTATATTATATGAGGTTTCTATTACTATACTACAGTGAGAAACCCAAGACAATTAACTAATAAAGAGAAAAGATTTATTTTGGCATAAATTCTGGAGGTTCCAGTCCAGATCAGTTGCCTAATGGCTGTGGCCTCTCACAGGTAGAACATCATAACAGGGAGCTTGGAGCAGAGGAAATCACTTACATTGTGTGCCAGGAAACAGAAAAAGAAGAGGTTTGAGTCCCAAAAATCTCTTTGAGGGCACGCCTCCAATGACCAAAAACCCACAAAATAAAACAACCCTCCTCCCCCAAAAGCCAAAAGAATAAAGCCAAAGGGTGTAGGCTCCATGGGGTTTCTACTGGAGACAAGGATGGATCTAGAAGGCTTTGATCTGGTTACAAGAAATGGCCAGGACTCAAGGGACAGCGAAGTATACAGAGAAGCTGGACCTAAAGTCTCCAAGATGTCCCAGTCCCTCAAGGTCTTTATAGAGGAATTAAAAAGGATCAGTTTCACATACCTGCAGCTTCAGTGATACTGTGGACCTGTGAAGGACCTGCCCTGATGACGGTTTTCTCACCAATGGTTAGCACAGTGCCTGGCATGCAGTAAAGATTTGTCAAAGGAGCTATTGATGACAGGTGGCAACCCACATGTGCTGGCCATATCTGGCACCATGTTGAGCATTTTTGCTCTGAGGAATTGCAGGGAGCAAGTCTACATGAGAATGTTCCAGAATGGCCCACAAGCACTATCTGCTTGAACGCAGCAGGGGTGCACTCCCTCCTCAGAGTCTCCACATGGACTGTCCCTCTGTCCTTACCCCACCTCCCACAGGTCTTACTTCAGTGTCACCTGAAGTGACGCCTGTAGATACTGCCCATGGCCCATGTGTCTTGGTGTGCTCTGGCCATCTTCCAAGGCCAGATCTGCATCTGGGCCCGAGAGCTCTTTCCCCTACCCCCAGAGTGCTAAGATTTGACAGAGGAGGGAACAGCCCTCCCGCAGTGACAGCTAAGGTGTTTATATAAAATCACGCTCAGTTTCACAATGCTTCCTTCACTATGGAGCTTCATTTGCCTCCCATATCATCTCATGGGTTCCTTCCCTTTCCTGTATCTCTTCCCATCTTCCCTCCTGGTGCTACTTGCACATCCCAAACAAGCTGCTTTCACTTAAATCCTTGATTATGCTCAGTTTGTGGGAGGATTCAAGCTAATGTTCATCTCTTCCCAGGATGGTTTTCCTTGTGTTCCTACCTCTATCACTCCCTGTCGCTCCCTGGCTTTACTTTTCTCTGTACTTGATTTACTTCTCTTGTTTCTTCCCCAACTAAAACCTAAGCTCTATGGGGGAGACACACAAATTCATCTGTCGTATTCCTTGCTGTATTGTATTACTACTGGTGTTCAGAACAATGCACTCCATAACAATTTGATGGCAGGATTAACAAATTTGTAGCTGTAAGTGTAATCTGTGAGCCAACATGTTGAAGTAGAGAACTGCTCAGCATTTTAAAATTGAGCCGTTATGATGGAGGAATTCATAAAAAGGTTACTTTTGAAAAGCAACTATCTCTCCACACTTCAAAGGTTACTCATGTTCCCCTGGGCTGTCTTCCTTCTAGACTTGCTTTCCTGGAGTCTGAGTGTAGGATGAACCTCAGGTCCAAGGCCTGTTTCCCCCAGACCTGCCCCTGATTGTTTTCATCAGCGCCTGCACACGGTTTTAGAAGCCCTCTGGTGCTCTGCTGTGCTATGCCAGGGATAGCATGTAATTAAGACTTACATCCCTGCATCCTCCCAGGCTGTGTGTAGTGGCGCTGGGGTGTGAGGCTTCAGCTGCCACCTCCTAGTGGCAATAGTCCCTTGTCCCCACATGGCTAGGTCAGCATAGTCCAGGAACGACACCTTTGGCCCAAGACCTTCTGAGAACTTGGGAGGGTGATTGTGTCTTCTTTCTGCTCTCTGATAGGGGAAGGTCCTGGGAATATGTGGGAACGTTGGAAGTGGAAAGAGCTCCCTCATCGCAGCTCTGCTAGGACAGGTAAGCAGCATGGCGAGCATGGGAAGGTGGCCCAGGGACACAGCGATGAAATGGTTCCCTTCTGCAGAGTTTGGAGACTTTGGGGCTGCAGAACAGTGGACAACTGATGGCTTTGGTTGCACTGGGCACTTTACACATGGTTAATGATGCTTTTTGGGAGGTTGGCCTGCCTGGCAGCTCTGTGCCCTTTGGCTAGACAAGGGCTAGGCTTTTCACACACTCATGGCTTTGCCTGGAGGCCATATGTTAGATGGTAAGGGCTTCCTTCCCTGAAGCTCTGTCTTGGTCAAAGGAAAAGATAAATCATTACACTCATAGTTTTTCCCATGATTGGGGCTGTCATGGTTTAGAAAAGCCAGCATGGCAGCGTGGTGGAAAAGGAAGGAGCTTAGGTGGACTTCTGGTGACTTTTGGTGTATTTGCCCTCATTTATCTCCACAGCCCCCATATGTGCTCCAGTGTCTGCCCAGAGCAGATGCTCCACCAAACCTGCCCCAATGAAGGAGTGTTGGATGAGTGCATGGACTAAAGCAGCCATGTGCCCCAACAGCTCTGCAAACCTTGCATAGGAAGAGAGAGGGGGCTGGTTCTCTGCTGCTTCTAGCTTTGGGATGCCAGGGCAAATGGTGAGGCCACTTACTGTATTTGAAGGTGGTCTCTATGATGTCAGGGTTTTAAAGTTGCATCTTAAATGAATGAGAAACTTTCTGGGGGAAAACTTAAGTCCTCCTTCCTACTTTGCTGTTCCTAAAGAACAGCTGAGATTGCCTACGGACAGAAGAACTTGGGGTGCCTCTAAAGAAATGAGGACACCAGGCTCAGTAGAGCCCCCACCACAATGGGGTGTGTGTGTGTGTGTGTGTGTGTGTGTGTGTGATAAACACCAACAAGAGTAACTTCTTTGGGCCTTACTTGACTATCTGTAGAAAGAGTAACTGCCTCTTGCCTGCCTGGAGGTAGAGGTGGGGGCTATATGGGATTGGGAGACCACCATGCTCTGGGATTCAGTGCGTACTTCTGTGATGATCCTGTGGTTGGTGGTCATGTTGGAGGTGACCCAGCCCAATTCTCCTGACACACAGGAGGCTGAGAAGGCAATGTGACCATGCTCAGATACTTCTCAGCCTATTCCCTCTTTGGAGTGTTCTGATGTTTATTGGAATGAAATTTGCTCCCTTTTATTTTCTATCCTTCTACTGTGGAACTTCTCACAGAAGACAGAAGTTCACCCATGGGACAGGTGGGATCAGGCCCCTCACCCTGTTGGGGGGGAGGCAGGGTGGTATGGTGGTTAAGCCAAGGGGCTCCTGACTGCCTTGTTCACCACATGATTCAGACACATGCTTGCTGTCTAACCTCTGGCAAAGAAGTGAACTTCTCTGAGCCTTGTTTTTCTCATCTATAAAATGAGGCTAAGGATAGCCATAGTGAGGATTAAATGAGGTAATGCATGTAATAGTAGTGGTAGGATAATCCCAAGGCCAATTGTGGTGACAGGCATCTCACACACCTAACACAGTGCCTGAAATGTACCAGTACCTGTTATCTACTACTACTATTATTATGGTCATTTTTTAAATGTCATTGTCTCTTCTCCCAGTATAGTTCAGTGAGAAACTGAAGTGGCACCACATCCTTTGACAGCCTTTGCTGCCCTCCTCTCTGTCCTCAGCCTTGCTGCTGCCCTGGGAGCATCAGCCCTGAGCACCCTGCACAATGACTGTGTACTTGGGCACATACTGGAGCCCATGCATGCTCTTTTTTTTTTATTAGCATACAGTAACAGTATAGGGGATTTCATTGTGATAATTCCACAGATGTGCATGCTTTTTAATTGGATTGCTCAATTTTTAAGTTTTATTTTTGAATTATGATACATTAATAACAGGAGGGAATTTCATTATGATAATTCCCTACATTTGTACATTATGCCTATAGCAATTCACCCCCTCAATTATATTTCCATTCCCTGGCTCCCTTCCTCCCCTTTTCAAGCAGTGTTTGGTGGGTTTCATTATGCTGTCTTCATATGTATATATGCAGCATACTTCAGTCCTCTTTACCCCTCACTATCCTTTCATTTCTCCCTCCTCCTGCTGTTGACCCCACAGACAGTCCCCCATATACATTCGAGTCCTGTTATTGTTATCATTATTGTCATTGTCATTTTAGCTCCAGATTCCACAAATGTGGATTTGTGGGTATGGGTGGCTCAGGCCTGTAATCCTAGCTACTCAGGAGGCAGAGATCAGGAGGATCATGAGTTGAAGCCACCCGAGGCAAATAGTTTGTGAGATCCTATCTCAAAAAAAACCCAATACAAAAAGAGGCTGTTAGAGTGGCTCAAGTGGTAGAGCATCTGCCTAGCAAGCGTGAAGTCCTGAGTTCTTTTAGGCCCAGTACTGCCAAATAGAAAGAGAAGGAAGAGGAAGGGAGGAAGGGAGGAAGGGAGGGAGGGAGGAAGGAAGGAAGGGAGAAAGGAAGGAAGGAAGGGAGGGAGGGAAGGAGGAAGGGAAGGAAGAGGAGAAGGAAGGAAGAGAAAGAAGGGGAAAGAAAGAAAAGATCCCAAAGTTCCACATGAAACTGGATTTTCCACTCCTCTTGAAAAACCAGAAACTCTGACCTCACCAGGCCTGCATCTTTGCATAGGCCCACCATGTCACTATCCATGAGTAGTGCCCTGCTTCTGGGAATGTGGCTAGGGAGAGTTGGACCTGGAGGTAAGGGAGACTCTTGGGCCTCGATCAGTCTGCTCATGGGCTCTTGCTGTAGTTGCCATGGGTAATATGTGTGACTAGGGCTCTCCAAGTGGCAGCGGGACAACCCTCCTCCCCCCTCCCCACACTACCTCTTTGCTAACATTCTCTGCCTGGTACCACTCAGGTGTTTGACTTTGAGACCCTGGTCGCACAGTTGGGTTCTCCATGATGCATCCTGTGGACCCTCTTGCACCTGCATGACCAATGGTTGTGGAATAAGTGGATGTCAGGGTGCCAAGGCACTGGGAAAAGACATGGAGGTTGGCTTCTGAGGCTTCTCTGCCATTGTCACTCCAGATGCAGTTGCAGAAAGGGATTGTGGCAGTCAAAGGACCTTTGGCCTATGTTTCACAGCAAGCATGGATCTTTCATGGAAACGTGAGAGAAAACATATTATTTGGAGAAAAGTACAATCACCAAAGGTAAAATTAACTTTTAAATCATGAGGCTCTGTTGTATTTGGTATGCCTGTCACAGATGCTGACACCATTGGTAATGATTGCTAAGTGGATTCTTTAATGAGTTCTAATGAAACATTCATCGATCCACATGGGCACTGGTTTTTCTGCTCCTGACCTAAGAGTTCAGGAGGGGGACCTTCTGCAGACCTGTGAACACACACTGAGAAGAGGATGCAATTGACACTTCATTCTCAGGGCAGAGCACCATATGTTCCGAGGTTCTCTGTAACACAGCATATGTTGTCTGACGGGAGAAAAATGAATCTGGTAATTTTGCTTTAGGCTGACTAACCAAAACTTTGCTTGAAAATGTGAGCAGAAGACATGGAATTAATCAACCATTACATTGTCACTTCACATCAGTGCCATCAGGATATATTGCTGTAGGTGTCCTCAAAATGATCTACTGCAATAAAAGCAAAGTTCCAGTTATAATTATTCATACCCTGTGGCCATTATGGTAAGTTCTGGAAAGTAATGGCTTCTTAGCATTCCTTGTCAACTTTGATGTACTGCCACGGGCATCCTTTCATTCGAGTCCCATAACCACTTGTTTAGGAGAGATCCCGGCATTAGATCCCCATTTTATTAGCTTTATTAGATTCCCATTTCAGATGAGGAAGCTGAAGTTGAGAGGTGAGTTGACTTGCTCAAGGTCAAAACTATTAAATGGTAGATTTGTGTCTTGGAGCTGCCTGGTGGTTGGGGCACTCAGACCTTCTCCAAGCATCACAGTGCTGAAAGTGAAGAAACAGAGTTGGTTGTTGGAATCTGGCTTTGGTTTAAACTTCTTGTCTTATTGTTTGAAACTGCAAAGTTTGTAGGTTGTATCAGAATACTGCTGGCTAGCATTGGCCAGCATGTGTACTCCAGCAAGAGCCATGTTACCTTCCTTCCTCCTTCCTGTAACCAGAAGGCTCAAGTGTGGCAGGAAGGCCTGACCAGAATGATAGTCTTAGCACCAGTGAAAGTGTTCCACTCCAGTCTCCTGACTCTGGCCTTCACGTAACTAGGCCTCTCCCATCCCCACCTGGAGTGCTTTTTTTCCATAGAAGCAGGCTGGAAGGATACTTCCTTAATTAATAATATGAAAGTTCAGAGGGCAAATATTTACCAAATACCTGCAGTGTGCAGGACACCATGGGGACACACAGAAGGCTCAGTGAATCTTTGCTTCCAAGGTTCTGAAGTCTGAAGGGGCTGTGAAAGGTACAGAGAAAGGGCAGTGATCTGCTGAATGGATTTGACATTGGGTGATGTTGAGGAAGAAAAGAGAGGTCAAAAGGCCCAAGAGCTAGGGTCGCACTCCTGCTTAGTCTCTCTCCCCTTTAGGCAGTGTGCTCTGTGCCTCAGTGTTCTTGGTTGTCCTAGGAGGAGAAGCCTATTGTCACCAACCTGGTAAGAGACATGGGTGAAGAGAGTGGCTTTCAGAGCAGAACGGGCTCAGTAGATGCCAGGTTGGCATTTGTGGTCACCCCAAGCTGTTGCTGTCAGGCTCCACCACACACATCCTCTCTCTATTCAGGTCATGTATCCTCCTGGAAGTCATCCACAGTAACTTCAGCCCACATGGTTGACCCCCTTTTCTGACTTGAGGAGCAGCATCCACAATTGGCACCCCTATGTTTTCCTCCAGGTTTCATGACACTGATGTCACCTTCTCTGTATGACAGGAACCCTGAAAGAGATGGGGCCAACCCCAAGTCAACTCTGTGTCAGGTCGAGGAGAGATCCAGGAGTCAAGGGAATGCTGCCCTGGGTCTTCAAAGACAAAGCAACTGGCCAGGGAGCCATGATTATTGCACTTGACAGCTCCTCACCTTGTCCTAGTGGGGACAACAGGTGTCTTTCTCCCCACACTGCCTTCTGACCTCTGTGCCCACAGGTATCAGCACACTGTCCGTGTCTGTGGTCTTCAGAAGGACCTGAGTAGCCTTCCTTATGGAGACCTGACTGAGGTGAGCAGAGCTGGGATGGAAGCCCACCCCAGCTTAGGTGGTCTGTTTGCCCAGCTGCCCATGAACCCACATGCAGATGCTCCATCCTTGGTGGGGATCATAATAGTTGTGGCACCAAACCCATTCGTGTTTGGTTCATTGTGGTCACTTCTGGGGAAGTTAGGCTTCTTCACCTCCAGGACCAGCTGTGTCCTCCAGAGCTGGTATCTGGAGTACAGCTGGAGTTTCAGGGGCCCCTTTTTGCCTCATTGACTCTGCCCAGCCTGGGAGTGTGGTGTTATCTCCAAACATTGGCCCTGGGGTGCTTGCCCAAAGTGTTGGCATGATCCTGGTTGAGCCTGTTAACTCAGGTGACACAGGCGAGTCACCATGTCACTCTCCTATCTCCACTGCCTGTTTGGGCCCTTTTTGGTCTTCGCACTTTCCCCATGAGCCCTGAGGAGCTCAGAAAGCTAAAATCTCTGAAGAAAAGACCATCTGAGAGTGCATGGCCTTTTTCTGATGGTGTCCTCAGTCTGCCTATCAGGGAAGCCACCAGCTTTCCTGGCTGGTGTGCTCAGTCCTGGCCTCCCTTTCCAGATTATGCCTTTACCACCCCTACCTGTGTCCACCCACCTCCTAGCCTCCTGGTCTCTGCTCCTGCAGTTGTTACCCACTTTGAGGTCCATCTCCTAATTCACCTCCTCGAGGAGGACTTTCCCAAGCCCATAGCCTCACATTACTCCCAGGATGCTTCTGGGTTGGCACTGGGTGAATTCTGCTTGGTGCCATTTTTTTGTGTATAACTTTCTGCAAAAGTGTGATCTTCCAATAGGTCATTTTTCTTGAGCAGCTTCAAGTGTCTCTAGCACCCAAACAACACCTGAATAGCAGAACACGATGGGGGTGCACCTTGGGCCCAGTAGGATAGAATTCCCTAAAGCAAGAACTCTTGGCTTTACATCCTTTCAATAAAGAGGTACTGAGTATCTATTCTGTGCCCTGCCAGGTGTCAGGCCTTAGGGATATGATAATGAGCACAGGGCTCATTGTCCCTCTGCTCTCATCCATGTCTCCTGTTCACTGATCCATTCTCCGGAGCTTCCTGTGTGATTTCACTTAGTGTTACTGGTCAAGATGTAGCTCCTCCCTGAGAGCAATGCACTGGGCTGGGGATGCCATGAGGCAGGTATCTGTCACTCTGGTGGGAAGAGCTGCTTCCTAGTTGGCACTGCCCACTGGACTTCCTGAGGGAGTGAGAAGTGGAGCTCTTGCCTTCACCTGTGTCTAGCATGGTGGACAAGGAGATACCTAGTCTGTCTGTCTTTGCCCTGAGTCCTGAGGACTGCAGTGAGGCAGGAAGGACTTGATGATGGGGAGTGTCACTGTCTCTGTCTGCAGATTGGGGAGCGGGGTCTCAACCTTTCTGGGGGACAGAGGCAGAGGATCAGCCTGGCCCGCGCTGTCTACTCCAACCGTCAGCTCTACCTGTTGGATGACCCCCTGTCAGCCGTGGATGCCCATGTGGGGAAGCATGTCTTTGAAGAATGCATTAAGAAGACACTCAGGGGGAAGACTGTTGTCCTCGTGACCCACCAGCTGCAGGTGACCAGGACATGCAGGATTCATGAGGTTTCAAGATGAGTGTGGTACCTGAATGTTGACAGCCTTCTCTTCTGTCTAAACCTGCCTTTCACATCCAAGGCATCCTCACCTGGGCAGGCTGCAGATGGCACAGGGGATGTAGGAGACAGTGATGTTTTCCAGAAGCCACTCTGGCTTTCAAGTAGTCCCATGGCCTCCATTAGTTCTGCCTATGGGTTCAGTGGGGCCAAGACCTTTCCTCCACCAGGGAATAAATTGTCCAGGAGCAACTGACCCTCCATGTGGGTGGGCACGAGATCCCTCCTGAGCTCTGGGCCACTGGTGATAAGGAGCAGAGTATCTGGGAATATTCTTCAGACCCCACCTTTCTATTAACAAGGGCTGGACAGGTCTGAGGCAAGGGGCACCTTAACTGAGGATGGTGGGAAGGGATACCCCTTAGATGAGAGGCCCCTATGCTCCAGTCTTTACCCCAAGGGAAAGAGACTGGAGGTCAGGACTTGAGGCTAAGGCTGAGGGTTTGGGGGAGCTCCTCCCTGCTCTAAGCCTGCCCTTTGTGGGGAGGTGTCTCTTTCAGGCTGTGGAACATGAATCTTGCTGAAGAAAGTGACTAGGCTTGTGCTGAGTGAGCTTGAAGATTTGGTAGGGTAGGGACTGTATTTGCTGCACCATCCCACATAAGGGTACTGCATGTCTGTTGGGAATCTAGGATCCTTCACCCTGAGAAGCCAAGGTTCCCCTCTGTCATGTGGTCTCCCTCTCTTCTTGTCATGGGGAGTCCACAGAGATGTACAGTGTGTGTGTGTGTGTGTGTGTGTGTGTGTGTGTGTGTGTGTTGGGGGTGTCTATCTTAGGAGAAGAGATCTGAAGGAATTGCCCTGATCTAGGACACAGCCCACTGGGGCAGGGGGACAGAAGCCTCATCTTCTCTCTCCTGTGGAAAACAGGTTCCACAAAGGCCTGAACTGAGGCATGAGGTAGTCTTCATTTCCTTGCAAGGGTCAAGCTTGATAGGAAGGGGGCAGCAACAAGTGATGCTGCTATGGCTACTGGATGCTGCAGCCAGTATTTAAGGATCTTCTGACAGAGGCTACGGGGACCACCCTGAAAAGGGAGGGATTTCTCACAGACCTGGGAAAGTAGCTTTGCCATCACTGTGGCCCTTCCCCCTAGCCAGCCTTTGTCCAGGGCTAGAATTTGGCCCCAGAATTAGCTCCAAGCATTATAACTTTGTACATGTGGTTCTGCCTGTTTCCTCAGGCTCTGTGCATCTAGGAAGCACTATGCCAGGTGGGTGGACATGAGCTCCTGGTTTCCTAAGTGTCAAGGTAGAGGGGAAGGTCAGATTTATTCTGGGTCCCCAAGTAATGACCTGCCAGGGTGTTACACGTGGTAACCATAGCACTGGCCCATGGATGTCCAGTCCCTGGAGACAAACAGCAGTGGGAGGGCTCTCCTGAGAGGGTGATACGTCACACTTAACAAGTGTGAGTCAGAGTTGTTCCTTCAGGAGTCATAATGGAGCGGTCAGAGCCCCAGCCCTGGTCATCTTTGGAACTCACCAGTGAGCAACATGACCTTAGGCAAGCACTGTCACTTCCCCAGCCTCAGAGTCTACCTTTCTCCAAGGTCATTATAGCTCACTTTTTGTGTGTTAGAAAATGCACAGCCACCAGGTGGCACCAGACTCTTGGCCCAGCCATCCCATCCATTGTGTTGTCAGGGAGGAGGGATTCAGAGCCTCAGAACTGGAGCCCTTGGGTTTTTCCAGAGAGCATTTCTGTACTGCTTTTCCTTTGGATGCTTCTGAGTGGCTGGGCTGGATGATCGCTCTTCTATTGACTTGAAGAAACAAATGAAATGAGGCCAGTGGCCAGCATCTAATGTCTAACCCTAGTCAGCCTTGTGACAGCTGGCAGAACAAAGCTGCCCAGTATTGCTAGGGTGATCTGGGGATTCCACAGCTGGGGCATAGGCCCTGGCACAGGCAGAAAAGGCTGTGGGACTGTAACAGGCCCTCTGGTACCTCAGAAAATCAGCTGATAAGAAAGCTGCCTGCTTTCTTGAAATACTGGATTGTGGGGTGGGGCGGGGGAGAGAGAGAGAAGAGAGAGAGAGAGAGAGAGAGAGAGAGCGAGAGCGAGTGAGCTTTGAAAATTAGAAGACCCTGGGCAAAAGTGAGAAGTTGTCTTCTGGAAAAATCCTCTGTCAGGAAGCGTCTCAAGTGGACACTAAGAACCAGGCTGTTACCATCTGGGCTGTCTGGGGAAGTGGACAGGCAGCCGGACAGTTATTCAGAGGGAGGCATAAAGGCCAGAACTGTCTGAGCTGTAAGAACTGCTGTCCTTTAACCTTTTGGGCACTGCCCCACCCCTGTCTGGTGCACAATGACCAAATGCAGCTTCTTTTAGGCTTCTAATCGAGAGCATCCAAGGTTAACTTGACCTTGGATGGACACTGTTGTATAAGAAGAGGCCTCTGGTCCCTACTGCTTCTTTAGATAGAACCATCTTCAATCTCTAGGAGGGGCCTTCCTGCCTTGATGGGTTGATCTTATGGGGAGAGCTCTGTCTAATTTCCAAATGACAGGAAGCCCCTCTTAACAGAACACTTTGATCACAGGAGTGGTGTGGAAATGAAGGTAATTCAAATGAGAAAAACGGGTGCTTTGGGCAAAATGGGGCATGCCCACATTATTGTCAGGCCTAGGAGTGTGGCCTGTGCACATGGCCTTCTTCTCCTAAGCTCAGTGGAGTGCCAAGTGACCTTGTAATGCTATCAAGAAGATGGGGGAGGGAAGGAGAGAGAGATCGTCTTTCCTCTCTACCCAATTTTGGCTGCAGTGACTGTTGACTTCATTTTCCAAATGTCCACCATCACATATCTTTGTAGGGCAGCTCATTTAGGGAACAGAAGCAAAGGGAGACTTACTGCAACAGCCCAAAGCTGGCTTTTGTGTACAGAAGATGACAAGAACTAGATCACTGATTCTCATCTGGTCCCCTGGGGGCATTTGGCAATGTTTGGAGACATTTTGGCTTGTCACAACTTGCTACTGGCATCCAGTGGATAGAGACCTGAGAGACTGTTAAATATCCTACACTGCACTGGGCAGCCCCACAACAAGGAATTATTTGGTCCCTAATGTCAATAGTGCTAAGATCAAGCCCGGGACACGGAGTTTGGTTTGGGCTCTTGTTTCCCTGCCTCCAAGACAGAAGTTCATTGTAGATCACATTACTGTCTCTGCAGTTCTTGGAGTACTGTGATGAAGTGATTTTGTTAGAAGATGGAGAGATTTGTGAAAAGGGGACCCACAAGGAGTTAATGGAGGAGAGAGGACGTTATGCAAAGCTGATTTATAATCTCCGAGGGTTGCAGTTCAAGGTAATGCTCTATGTACCTGGCTGGGGGATGCCAGAGCCTCCTCTTGTGATTTCCTACCTGGAAGAAGTTCTGTCATTTAGCTTTCAGAAGGAATTTCATTTTTCTTCAGGACCCTGAGCACATTTACAATGCAGCCATGGTGGAAGCCCTGAAGGAGAGCTCTGCTGAGAGAGATGAAGAGGCTGGTACAGTCACACTTACAGTCCCACCTCTCCTACTGCTCCTAGCTCAGGAATGGACACAGAGCTCTCTTTATTTCTCACCCTAGTTTTGGCTCCAGGAGCTCCAGGAGTTGAAGGAAAAGAATCTGAAGCAGTTTCAGAACTTGGAGACATGAAAGGTATTTACTGTTCTTTCCCTTGGTTACATATCCTCAGGATATGCTGGGCATCTATGGTTTGGATAGAAAAGCATGGGCATGGTGGATGTCATTTTGGGCAGCTAGAATTGTACAGGGCACTGTAGTGTAACACTTGTGATAACTGATCTTGATTGCAACCTGATTACATTGAAGGACTCCTAGGACATTAGGAAAACACACTCTGGGTATGTCTATGGGTGTTTCTAGAGAAGATTCACTAAGGGAGAGACCCTGTTCTGAATGTGGGCAGCCCCATCCATAGGCTGGCCCAGATGGACTAAAAAGGGGAAAAAGGGATACCCTCTAGCATAATCTCTCTCTCTTTCCCTCCTTCATGGCCATCATGATGGGAGCTGCTCTGCCATGCTTTCCTTGCCACAAAGGATGGAAAAACTCTGAAACTGTGAGCCAAAATAAATCTTTCCTCCCTTAAGTTGTTTCTCCCAGCTATTTGGTCACAGAGATGAAAAGTCTGACTAACACAGAGCTTGAGTCCAAATTCTAGCTCTACCACTGGCTAGTGTTGTGACTTTGAGCAAGATACTCAACCACTCTAAACCTTAGTTTCTTAATACATAAAATGGGAAAAGAGCAGAAACAACTTCACAGATTCCTGCAAGATTAAATGAGACACTACATAAAGTGATTAGCACAGTGACCTTCAATAGTTATTATTATCAAAGTGCAATGCCCAGGATTTAACTAGAGACAAAAGCAAGCACAAAAGTGAGGAAACAGGGACAGGCTTGAGGTGGGATAAGGTGATTTATTCGTTCAAGAAATAGCACTGGACTGTGTGCTGGTTTTAAGCTAGGCAGGGAGAGAAAGAAGAGAGACCCATGTTCTTGAGGTCTTATATTTTAGTGGGTATCACAAGCAAGTGGTTAGCTGTGGGAAACTGTGATAGGGTAAAGGGGAGTTGAGGTGGGAGTAACAAACAGGCCAGGGAGAGCTTCCCAGTGGGGGCACCTTTGGGCTGATCCTCAAAGGCTTTGCTAGGGATGCTAAGGTGAGAGGATCAGAGAGGAATAGAGGGCTTAAAGTTGCAGGCAGAATCATCCAAGAAGTTAGGGAGGAGAAATGAGCCTGGTGAGGGCCAGACTTCTTAGACTGCTGCCTTCCATCTGTCAGTCATTCCTCATTCCCTGAGCACCAAGTCTGTAACCTGCCCTGTGCCAGACTCCAACAGGGCAGGAGTCACAATTCCTCAAAATGCCCACAGTAGGGTGGCTTTTTAGATTAGAGTCCTGATCCTCACAAATGTGTAGCTGACAAAAACAAAAAACAAAAACAAACTTTACATTTGGCTAGATTATAGATAGGGCACACCTGTAATCTCAGTACTCAGGCTGAGGCGGGCAGGTCATGAGTTTGAGACCAACCTGAGCTATGTAGCAAGTTCAAGTCCAGCCTGGGCTAGATGGCGAGACCCTGTCTCAAAAAAAACAAAAAAAGCAAGCAAACTTAATGCATTTCATCAAATTTAGGATCCCATCCATTTTTTAAGCCCAGTCATTTTATGTACCACTTAGAAAAATGTCTCTACCAATTAAATGACACTGCCTACTATGGGATAGAAGGCATATCCAGATTTCAGGAATGTTAAACTATGAAGGGAATGGGTAGCATTTGGCACCAAGAGTGTTGCTTGTGACATGTATGCAAGCACATTTGCAAAGACAACTTATTTTTACTGCTTTGAAGGCTTCCTGAGCTGAAGGGAAGTACCCGGATGTGTCTTCTGTGCTTTTCAGGGAAAAGTCCAGGCTGCCCAGGATTGGGGATCTGTGGCAAGAGTAATCCCTACTCCTCATGTCCTCACCACCCACCCTCTTCAGGAGAGGAAAATGAAATTGCGAAATGTCACTTTGGAGAGAGACCCCATCCTCCAGGATAAAACACGGGGCTCCTCAATTCTTTGAAAGCTGTAGGAAGGGAAGAAGCTTACACACTAGTCAAAGGCAGCACTGCCTGCCTCGCCTGGCACCTGAGCGATTTCTAAAACACAGTGAAGGCCAAAAGGGTACCAGCAACCCTCCTGGCAGGATGCAGAGGGATTGACCAGTTCCTTGAGCACCCTAGGATATGGTTCATTAGGCTCTGCCCACATGCCAGCATCTCCCTCATTCTGCAGCCCATGAGGGAGACACAATAAGCGAACATCCAGCTGAACATTTTCAAAGAAGCACACAGATTCCCAGGCAGAGAATATAATGGTGGCTGTGCTTAGTGGGGTGCCTTTGAGGTGTGAAAGAGTCATGTGTCAGGTGCCCCATTCATCCAGCTCTATTCATCTCTGTTTATCAAAGCCAAGTACAGTGGATGGTTCTGCTTTGGAGCTAGCGTTTTTTTGTGCCTGTCTATGGAGGAGGGAGGAGACAGTATTCAGTATCCATGCTGGTAGCTGCTGTGCCTTGCATTCCTGGAGGGCTTTTCCCTTCACGTTGGTGAGTAGAGAGGCCTTAGACAGCCTTGTGGAGGAGGTCTGGAGCCCACACAGAAGCTGACTTAGGAAGATGTCCCGGGCTTCCTTCTGCATGGTATGGACTCTGAGAAGAATGGCCTCCTTCCTGCTCACCTTGGAGAAGACATTGTGGGTGCTCTGGTCACTTTGCCTGGGGACTCTCTCTGGTAGCTGCAAGTCAAGCTGGGAAATTAACCTCCTGAAGGAGTAGCCCTCCCCCCAATGGCCAAGAGGACTTGACACAAGAAAATCTGAATCCCTCGCTGCATGACAAGAAGCACCGAGCTGTTTGTCTCCACAGACAGGGATACCTCTCTACACAAGCATAAGCTAAGCTCAACTTGCCCATAGGTCTTGCTGGTTTGATGTTGTTCTGCTTACAATAGTAAGAGGAATAGTAAGTTCCCTTTAGCTCCCAAATAAATAAACTGCAGTCACCCCTCAGTATCATCAGAGGACTGGTTCTAGGACCACCCCAGGGATGCTCAGAGCTGGGGTTGCTCAAGGCCCTTATATGAAATGGTGTAAAATTTGTATAAAACCTACATACATCTTTCCATATACTTTATGTCACCTCTGTTCTACTTATGACACCAAAAATCTGTGTATGTTTAGTATAGATGCAATTCTTTTCAAATATTTTCAACTCAAGATTAGTTAAATCTACAGATGCACAACCCATGGACACCAAGGGCCGATTTTGTATAGATTCATATCTTCTACCTAGGGTCTGCTTTTAGGAGAAAGACCAACACAACTCCTTTAACCCCAGGGCTGGGCAGAGAAGTTACTTAATAGATATTTCTTAGAAGTCACCTATCTTACAGGGCTCTGATGAGGATCAAATAAAATGAGATGAGCAAAAGTGTGTTAGAAACTTGGGAGCACAAGGCAAATAGAAGGAGGGTCATAAGTGCCCTCGGTGGTGGAGTGGTGTGTGCCAGCATCACTGACCTCCCACCCTGGTCAGAAGGCCACAGCTTTATCTTGGTCTCCACAGCTCCTGTGCACCAGCTTGTCCAGTCTGAATCCCCCCGGAAAGGAATTGTGACCTGGAGAACATATCACACGTACATTAAGGCTTCTGGAGGTTTGGTATAAAACAATGGGTTTCTTGACTTCATTTGCGTTTTTAAAATGTGTTCTTAAACTGTTGTGTTCATATTTTGTGATTCCTTTTATCATTACTCTCTTTACACTGGGGCTGTTTATCAATGCTTTTATTTTTCCCTCCTTAAAAGCTAAAGTCTGGTAATACAGTCTTTTAAGTGGAATCATTTTTTATCTACATTAAAGCTGCCAGGCTCTGTTTTATTGGAGCTGAGTGGGCAGCCGCTCTAGCCAGTGATGGTTCTTCTACACATGCTCACTCTGATGGCTATATGCGGTGACCACCACCTCATCACCTGTCACTACACAAGACGCCTGTCTCATGGCCAATCTCTCCCCAACAAGACGGGGTTTTTATCGGTTTGCTTTTAGAGAATTCTGAATCCCTCCTATTAAACTTCACATCGAAGTATTTTTCAATATGATGACAATTGGGACCCATTTTCTAAGCAGATGGAACAGATGTCCTTATTGAGGTGCCAGGGGCCCAATATCCAGACACCTTTAGTTGACCAACTAAAGGTCATTCCCGGGGGTGGGAGTCCTTTTCTTATGGGCTTTGAATTTCCAAACCTCCAAGGGCTGGGCTTTGAGGGAGGTAGGTATGAGCCTCCTCCCACCTGTAACCCCCTGGGCCTTGCCCCTCCTCTTGCAGGCTACCTTCTGTCCCTCTTCATAGTGTCCCTCTTCCTCCTCATGATGGGCAGCTCCGCCTTCAGCACCTGGTGGCTGGGTCTTTGGCTAGACAAGGGCTCACAGGTGAGTTTCCCTTTAGCAATGTTTTGGAGCCAAAAAGATGCTGAGTGGACTCCAAATGTGGCAACAGCACACATGAGCTCACCTTTGTCTCTTTGCCCCATTCAGGAAGTTGAGGTCAGTTGCTTATGCCACATGATTCAAACTCCCTTTGGTTTTTCATGACAAGCAGGGCATCTGGATGTTTATGTGTTACCTGAAGTTTTAAAAGGATTGGCTTAAAAAGACCACACTGGTCAAGTACTCAAGCCTTCACAGGGGAGTGCAGTTTTACAGACTTGGTCCTAAGTTTCTTCTTATGAGGGGCAGGGAGGGACCAGGAGAGGCTAACACAGATTGGTGTCTTCCTTCCTCTGAGGAAAAACTGGTCTCCTGTCATTGACACTGCCTGGTGTTCTGCTTCCCAAAGTCACTTCTGTAGGACTGGACATGGAAGAGTCAAACTCAGTCTGACCACTGGGGGGATTTCCCTGACTCCCAGGGCTCCCATCTCTGCCAGGGCCCCTCCTGGGTAGGACTGATAAGTTTGCTTTCTTTGGAACTTGTCGTAATCTCTTCCAGCTGTTGGCCAATGATTTCAAAGCTTTTCTGGAGCCCCAGGGAATGCTGTCAGGGTGCCTGCCCATCCTCCAAGAATACATTTTGGTACAGTTTTGTTGCTATGACAACCAAAATAAAAATACATGGGGAGGCTTGGGGAGGGAAGAGGAGAGGCTATTTGGCACAGCTTTCTGAGGCCATTCCCAAAGGAAGAGGCCAGTGGATAGCCTGCCCTATGTAGAAATTGACAGCTATCTCTGGAATGATGTATTCTTCCAAATCCCCATCAGCACCAAGAAGTCCTTTTCTTGGACAGCCCCAGGTGTAGGGTCAAGGTGGAGTGCCTTCTTGCACTCTCAGTGTGCAGCAATGGTGGCAGATCACATGCTCACCCCCATGTGGATGCAACTTAGGGCACAGGAAAGCCTCCTGTTCAAGCTGGGCCTTTCATCAGTTAGCACCCCCAGGAATGCTCTTGTCTCTACCACTGCTCATCTGTCAGCTGCCTGGTTTACATTTCCTCTATTACCGTAATCAGCAGAATGGTATTTAGAAGAAAGACCTTTGCTCCCTAAAGGAACTCTTGACTCCTAGAACAGTCTGGAGAGTTTCTCAGGAGGAGAAAGATGACTTCTCCCTAGAAAAACTGGTACAGTTATGCCCTTTCTCAGGGCAGGATGGGTTCTCCAAGAGCCTCTTGTTCACTAGGCCCCCTGGACTCCAGGTCAGTGTACCAGGACCTTCACAGCTGGCCCTTGGAAAAAAGCAGGGAAAGAGCTGTGGAGCTGGTACATACCATGGAGAAGGCCTTCCCCCCCACCCCAGTCTCCCTTTAGGGAGGCTACTGCTGGGCAGCTCAGCAATTTGAAGACTGGTCCTTGATTCCCTCTGCTGTCTGGGGTACCTAAGGATTGCTCAGCCAGCATCTTGGAATCCAGGTTTCCTGTTGCTTCTGACCCTTCCAGGCCCAGCATTGTTTCTGGTCTCCTGAGGCACCAGTAGCTTCTGGAATGGCTGACCTGCCCCCGTTCATCTGTTTTCCCAACTGACTGTGCCATGCTCATAAGTCAGGTGCCCTTTGGGAAGGAACCATTGCAAAGCTCAGAAGTCCCCCAAGGGAGATGACTCATTCTTAACAATCATGCTCATTTTTAGTTTCTTCTCTTTGGAAAGATTCTCTGGAATATTCCTCTTCTTCTTAGAGCTTCTCCTGAGGCCAGTTCTTGATCCATCTGTTGTTTCATTCCAAAGATGATCTGTGGACCCCAAGGCAATAAGACCACGTGTGAGGTCGGCGAAGTCCTGGCTGACACTGTGCAGCACATGTACCAGTGGGTGTATGCAGCAAGCATGGCGTCTGTGGTAGTGTTTGGCACCATCAAAGGCTTCACCTTCACCAAGACTGCACTGATGGCATCCTCCTCGCTGCATGACAAAGTGTTTGACAAGGTACTGCCTACAAGATCTGGGGCCTATCCAATTATTCAGTCAACAGGTTTTTCAGAACCCTTTTACATGCCAGGAAAGAGCAGCCCTCCTGGAGCTTTCAGTCAGTCTGTGAAGAGTCTGTCACATGTCTAACTACCAACTGTGAAGACCAATCCCAGGAAGCCATGGCCCTTAGGCTAGGCTGGGGCTGTAGAGATGTGCAAGCCAAGAGGGATAACAGCAAGGGCCTCAAGGTGTACTTCCATTCCCCTCTGCCTTCCATTGCTGTAGTGGGCAGCAGCTGTTGGCTGTGAGGTCCCTCGCCAGAGTATACATATATGCTTCACTCTTTGAGGGTAGAGAGACAAAGTGTACCCGGGCTTTTTATTGCCTGAGCCACAAATCCCTCCCTCCTCTAAGAGCAACAGCTCCTCCACCCTGGGGTGCCTCCCATATTTGGAGGGAGGGAGGCAGGCAGACCTGCAGGACACCACCCAGAGGAGAATCTCCCCCATGTTCACTGAGGGTGGCCACAAGAAAGGGGAGCACCCATCCTTTCTCATGGTCACCTTGGACATTGGATTGTAACCTAGGAAAAAGTCAGATCCTGTACTCACAGTCCCAGCCCCAGCAGTGCGGCTGGGTTTACTAACACTTAGGTGGGCTCTATTTGACTCTCTGCTTTTATCCACAGATCTTAAAGAGCCCAATGAGCTTCTTTGACACGACTCCTACTGGCAGATTAATGAACCGTTTTTCCAAAGATATGGACGAGCTAGATGTGAGGCTTCCGTTTCATGCTGAGAACTTTTTGCAACAGTTTTTTATGGTGGTGTTTATTCTTGTGATATTGGCTGCTGTGTTTCCTGCTCTTCTTTTGGTCCTGGCTGGCCTTGCTGTAGTCTTCTTCATTCTTTTACGGTAGGTTTATACACTGCTTTAAAAGGGGAAGTCAACACACACACACACACACACACACACACACGCACACTCACACATACACACACAATATGCACAATGGCAGGTGATAATGGAGTGTTTAAAGTCGGCTCAGATAGAAGAAGCCACTGACTTTTAGCACTTATTAAAAGCCAGGTGCTATGCTAAATGCTTTGCATAATCTGGCATTTTAGCCTCATAGAAACCCTGATTGGTGGATATTGATGGGAGGTAAAGTCACTGCTCCCAGGCCAGGAAACTAGTAACCGTGGTTATTGTCTGCCAGCTGATATATTCTTAACCATTGGACTCTGCCATTCCTGTCCTTGGGAAGAGAGAGCCCCAGAGCTCAGCCTCTTTGAGCTTTGAGAGACAGCCCCATGCTAACTACAGGTGATGCAGTCAGAGAAAGGCCTGCTTGGCTCTGGGGTGCCTCTAAGGCAGGGCACGCCTACCAGGGGGAAAGCAGGAAGGCAGCAGTGATCCCCGCTTCCTGGGACACAGCTTCCCCACGCCATACCTGGGATGAACAGGTGTTCTTGGCAGATAGCATGGCAGGTATTGGGTGAGGGCAAGGTATTGCAAGTCAGAAAACTTTGTACGAGAGTCCCAGCTCTGCCACAAAACTAGCTGGAACACCTGGGAGAAGTCAGAAATGCTGCAGACCCCAGCTTTCTCGTCTCCAAAATTCATAACCACTAAAAGGTATGACTCACTTGTTTGAGAGGGGTGATGGGGATCAAAAAAGACTAGGTGATGGATTGCTTGTCAATTACAAATGGAATAAAACGTTTGAAACTCAAGAGATTTAGAGTTTGAGTGAGAGTGGACGAGGACCAGGCACGGGCAGCAGTAGTGGCAGCAGAAAAGGTAGACTCTGGGAGGCATTGGAGGGCCATCTACAAGGCAGAGTCGGGCCTGATAAGTGTTGGGTGTTAGGGCGATGGGAGAGACCAAGGATGATCCAGGGTGGGGCTGATGTGCAGAGAGATGCAGGTGGCATGGGGTAGCAGTTTGAGCAGTCACGATTGCATTTTGGTTTTGGATGATTGAGTTCCGTCATCAAGTCTGATGATGGAGCCAGTGGGCAATGGCTGTGTGGGCAGGGATGTGTTGGAGTTGGAGAACCAGACTTGGTACCTGTGTGGGAGCTGGTGTGGCCATCCATGGGATTTAATACCAGTGCCCTGGGAGTTGGGAAGCCAGATTCTCGCTGCAGTACCCTTTAGTGACTCTGAGAAAGGACACATGGCCTTAGTCTCCAAACTCAAATGTTTACTGTGATGATAAAAAAAAAATTCCTGAAATTTATTTACAACGATAAGGCACATTGTGGATGTCTGCATCTCAGATGGATTCCTTGGCTCATTTTCATTTTTGTATCTTCATTTTCTGGCCATTGTTCCTATCTTTTCTCCTATTTATTCTGTTGATTGACTTCATAAAAGCTTTTTTCTCCTCTCCCCTTTCCCTCTGCTTCCTCCTATAAAGACAAGACAGACCAATCTGCCCCTGACTGAATTATCCAAATGTTTCCAACTAACTTGCTTGAGCTCTGAGCTAATGAGGTGTCCCCATTCCCTTTGCTCCCTCTGCTTGGTTTTAGCTAAGAGTCCAGAGGCCACATTAAATTCTCTCATGGCACCCAGCTAACCTACAGGCTCCAGGTCACTGATCTCCAGCTCAGCAGGGTTCCTGGGGCTCCCATGTGCAGGGGGCTACTTCCTGGGAGGGTTTGGTTTTAAAGTCATCTCCTGAGGCTATCATAATATTTGCTCAAAATTACCTTTCAAGATGCCTTTAGAAGGCCACACATAGGCAGTTGACACCAGAATTTCCTCCAACCTGGAACAGATCACTTTTCCTCTGATTGGGCATCAAAAGTGGTCAACTAATGTCCAGGAGCTGCACTGTATAGAACCTCTGGTCTTCAAAGACTAGAACTGCATCTTGTGCTGCACGACATTCCTGCTTCAAGAAGCATGTGGGTCTGAAAGTGTACCACCTTCTCAGAGGCCATCTCTCTCACAACCAGGCAGTACATCTCAGAGAGTTATGGCAGCTGCTCATTCTCCCGTTAGATATCACTGCCTTGGACTTAACTGTCCTGTGTGAGGGTGAGCTCACTGAGACCTGCTCTGGGCTCTCTTGGTCCTCTTGTTTGCTTGGCAGCATTTTCCACCGAGGAGTCCAGGAGCTCAAGCAGGTGGAGAACATCAGCCGCTCACCCTGGTTCTCTCACATCACCTCCTCCATGCAAGGCCTGGGTGTCATCCATGCCTACAACAGGAAGGAGGACTGCATTCACAAGTGAGTCCTGGCCCTGGGTGGGGAGTCTGGGCTGGATTGGGGGGGGCACTGGCAGGACTGGTCAGAGTGTGCTGACATGCAAATTAGCTCACTCAATAATGGCTTCAGTATGTAACTTTATGTTTTATTTTCAACCCTAAAGTGAAAAATGTGTTCAATTCAGGAAAATAAGGGGACACAGAAAATAGAAGAAAAATACCACTCAGGTCCTAACTCCCAGTCTTGTTCATATTTTCATATACGTTGACCATCCCTAATTTGAATATCTGAAATCTGAAATGCTCCAAAATCCAAAACTTTTTGAGTGCTGACGTGACACTGGAAAATTCCACATGACCTCATAAGATGGGCACAGTGACAATATCGTATTAAAATCATCTGCAAACTGGTGGTTACAGTGCATGAAACGCAGATGAACTTCAGACTTGGGTCTCATTCCCACGATGTCTTATTATACATATGCAAATATGCTAAAGCCTGAAAAATTCCCAAATCTAAAACACTTCCCAGCCCAAGCAATTCAGAGAAGGGATACTCAGCCTGTATTTCTTTCCAGGCTTTTTTTTTTCTTTGTAAAAATTATTAATGAGATTTTCTTTTTAAGTATTTATAATAATTTTTCTATTTTTAAAAAGTTACCATTTTAAATAATACTTTTCATGTTATTACATGTTCTTTGTTAAAATCACTTTTAAAAGCCATATTTCATTTCACTCAGCAGATACACCAATTTCTTTCTTTTAAATCCGGAGGACTAGATTTTTGGTGTTGTCCAGCTCCAAACTTCTAAAATGCCATAGAAAATGTATCAACCACAGAAGGGTCCTTGCAGTAACAAACATCCCTGCATCTTGGAATCTGAGCACAGTAAATGTTTATTCTTCTCCAAGTCACAATTTGATGACGGTCCATGGGCAGAAGGAGGGAATTCTCCACACTCAGACACACAATCTCTTTCCGTCTGGGCTTTTCCATCTCAAAGGCCTTGGGAAGAGAAAGGAAGAAAGGAAGGTAGTGGATCACTGGGGAAATTAAAAAAAAGTTTATTATCATATTATTGTTGTACTGGGGGTACATTATGACTTACTACATCTTAGTTAAATTCACTCTCTCCATCATTCTTCTTTATCTCCCTTCCCTCATTCTTAGAATAGTTTCAACAGGTCTCATTTTTCCATTTTCATACATGAGTATGTAATATTTCCCTGGGGGAAATTTTTATGGCTCAACCTTGGCAAAGATGCACAATATTTCTGCATGCTCATTGGCCAGATTTCAGTCACTTGGGCTCACCTAAGGCTGGGTAATAAAAGTCCAGCTGTGTCCAGAGGAGGGAATCAAAATGGAGTTGGATGAATCCATAGCAAGTCTCTACCACATAGATGCTCTTTCTTTCCTATATTTCCCTTAAAAAGTTAACAGATAGTGGGCATGGTGGTACCCACTCAGGGTCTCACGCTTGCTAGGCAGGCACTTTACCACTTGAGCCACTCTGGCAGCCCATTTTGTGTTTTTTTTTTTTTTTTGAGATAGTGTCATGTTTTCTGCCTAGACTGGCCTGTCACTATATATGCTGTCTGCATAGCTTAGATGACAGTGTGCACCTATGCACCCAGTCATTTGTTGAGATGGGGTCTTCCCTTAGCCTTCAAACCATGATCCTCCCGATCTTCACCCCCCAAATAGCTAGGATTACAGGCTTAAACCACTGCACTTGGAAAAATAGTTGGTCTCTAATTATTTGTCAAGAGTCCTCAATATAGCAAAAGGAGTCATTTAAAGAAAAAATAAAAGAGTCTTCAAAAGTCTTGATCATGAGGGAAGTCTATGGAGTCAGTCATCGCTTCACTCTGACAAAGAAAACAGATTCAACCTTGGTTTTCACAAAGAACCTCCTCCAAGGTTTCTAAGAGGATCCCAGAGGAAGTTGAGCCTATGTGACCATGTGGTTGCCCCTTTTTTAACACTTTCTTTCCAGAGAGTTTAGGCTTCTGATGCATATTGCATTTGCAAACAAACAGAAACATCATGGTGCTTGGAAGAGTGGAAATGGGAAGGAGGAGGTGTGGCAGAGCCCAAGATGGTTGGTCACAGGTGCCCCCAGCTGAGTCCTTGCAGGACTTTAAGGACACTGGCGCAGCATGGCCTGGGAACACTCATGGCTGTACCTATGAAGGAATAGTAACTCTGTAGGGTTTTCTCTTGGAAAGACTTTTGTGTTCATCCCAATAATTCCACCAATAGTTTTGAGGAAGGCCCTTCCCACTAGGTCAGGGTGCTCTCGGGGGCCATGGAACTGATGTCTCTTATGGCTAATGGTTGGCTCAACTGGTTAAAATATCCATCTTGGAGATATTTAAATCACAACTCTCTTTCCTCCCATAGGATTGGTGTGGCAAGGCTGTGTGTGTGTGTGTGTGTGTGAGCGTGCATGTGTGTGTAGTGTGCGTGTTTTGGGGTGGGAGGCAGGTTTGCAGTCAGCAAGCATGGGTAGGTCGGTCTTTTCTTTAATCCCCTTTCCCTTTCCTCTGAGCCTGTTTCTCTGATGCAGGAAACTGGGTAGGGGAACAGGGAGGTCACATCCTCAGGTGACCGCGCCTCTGGGCTGTTCTCTTCCTTCTGTTGCTCTTGCCCCACGACCCAGCTCACTGAGTTGATGCAGTTTAGCAGGGCAGGGCCCCCAAACGACCTGATCCAGGGAGTTTTGCTAGGCAGTGCTGCATCAGTCAGGTTAGCTGGGGTTCCAGCCAGCTCTGCCTGAAGCATCTCCCTGCACTCCTCAGAGGTGGACCCTCTTCTCATGCTGAGGATAGTTGCATCACAGCTGCAGCCAAGATGTCACCCTTCTTCCCCACCCTCAGCTCTACACACTTACATCTGGGGAAAAAGGAACCCCAGGGTGGGTCTTGCCCCTCTCTTCTGGCTGTGTCATCTCTCTGTGGCTCTGTCCTGTGCTCTCCCTCCACCCATCCTCCAGCAAGCACTGTGGCTCAGTGGACATGTGGTGGGGCACAGGACATCAGCTTCCTCTCCTTGAAAAGACCCCCAATTTCTAAGTGATCTTGAACCTGTATATCTGATGTAAGGAGGGGAACCAGGCAATTACCCTCCCTTTCTGCTCTGCTGTCACAAACACTGACTTCCTAAAGGTGACCCCTCCACAAAAGTCCACCCTTTTTATAGATCAAGGAGCCAAGTGAAGATTCCATGATGTCTCCAAGGGGAGGCTGACTCCCAGATGGGGATCCTTTAAAGTTAGGGTACAAGGTTCTCAGAAGCTTTTGCTCTCAGCTGTGGGCTCTGCTTGCCAGTTCTGGGAAAGACAGAAGAGCCCACTTAGCAGTGTTCTCAACTGCCACATGGGAGTTCTCAAAATAGGTGCAAATCAAAGATGCCTATGGTGGCAGATAGATGTATGCTCATTCTTCTAAGTTACTGTGTAAGAAGGTACTTCACCTTGACTAAAAATTCCCTTTATTTCTCTAGTAGCTTTAATCTTATGAAGCCCAACCTGACCTCTTGTTTTGTTTAATTCTTTCAATTTGAGGTTTAAGATGCTCAATGATGAAAACTCCAGCCACCTCCTGTACTTCAACTGCGCTCTCAGATGGTTTGCTCTAAGAATGGACGTGCTCATGAACATTGTCACCTTCATAGTGGCCTTGTTGGTGACCCTGAGTTTCTCCTCAATCAGTGCTTCATCCAAAGGCTTGTCATTGTCTTACATCATCCAGGTGACATTTGGTGCAAGGTTGGGCGTGGCTATCAGGGAGGGTGCTTTTGGATGGAAGTAACAGAAAAATCAACTCAAAAAGATTTAAACAATAAAGAGAGCCTAAGTGGCTCACATCATTAAAATTTGGCAGTTGTGTGGGCTTCAGGCACAGTTGGATCATGGCTCTTGGCTTTGTCCTTGTCCTGTGATGGCTTCCCTTATAGTGTGCAATGGTAACCAATAGTCTCTGAAGTCTACAGCAGGAAGAAAGCAAGGAAAAGCAGCCTATCTTAGCCACTGAACCAAAAAGTCTAAGCTTTGCTCCTCCAGGGTTACTTTAGGCATCCCAGAGTGAATTAGTGGCTTTATGAGGTTAGGGTGATTGATGTAGGCTAAGAGGTGAAGTTAACCTCCACCAAGTCACATAGCTGCTCCACAATGGGAGGAGTGAAATGAATACTGGAGAGGCTACCGCATTGTCTATGACAAGTAATTACTCACTTCTTGGTTGCTTGGGTTTTTTCCTTTTGAATAATAATGAGCAGTAAACCCATGACATTCACTGGATTTCAAGTACTGTTCTTCACCTAAGTGAGTTCATTTACTCCCCAGCAAAAGCCCTGTGATACTACTAGAAGTCCCATTTTGCAGATGAGAACACTGAGACAGAAAAATTTGGCAAAGCTCACTCATCTGTGATGTGAGAGCTGTGATTTGAAGCTAGTGTTGGTCTGGTTTCCCTTGATATTTACATTTTCTTTTTGAAAACATTTCCAATGAAGTTCTTGGCTGTGGTGCTCTGAAATTCCAAGACAAGGTGTTTTGAGAGTTGATCTTTTAAAATATATTCTGTTAGATTCTATTGGTTCTTTTAGATGGAAGTCAAATCTCACTTTCAACTCAGAAAAAAATTCTTTTTCTCTTCATTTTGACAATTTCCTCCTTTTCTTGGTTTTCTTTCTTGCATGTTAGGTTTCTTGAATCAATCTTCAATGTTTTTTTTCTTTCACCTCAGTTTCTATTTTCTAGTCTTTGGTATTTATTCTGGGAATTTTCCTTAGCTTGTCATCCGATCATCCCTTTGAATTTTAAGTTTGGCAATTATATATCCATATATTTAATTTCCATAAGCTTTTATTCCTTCAGGTTTTTTCTTTTTCTTTTTTTTTTTTTTTTGCGGTACTGGTGTTTGAACTCAGGGCCTCATGCACTCTACTGCTTGAACCACTCCACCTGCCCTTTTTTGCGATGGATGTTTTTGAGATAGGCTCTCTAGAACTATTTGTCCAGGACTGGCTTTGAACTGCAATCCTCCTGATCTCTGCCTCCTATGTAGAAGGAAGCCACTAGTGTCCAGCTTCCTTCAGTTTTTAGAAGAATTATTTTTTAATGGATGAAATATATTTTTTAATTTCTTCAAGAATATAATTTGATTTTTTTTCTGTCTATTCTTCTCAGTGTGGTTTTTCTTCTTGTTTACCCAGCTCTTGTTCTTTCATGCCATTGTACTCATTCCCCTGCCTCTTGATCTATCTGCATTTAAGAATGAAGGATTGGTTTGGATTTTCAGGGTTTCGCCTGCCTTGCCAGGTCTCCCCTGATAGGAGGTTTTCTAACTGTAGGTGGCCCGGATGGTGGGGCTTTTTCACAGACGTGCTCTCTTTGGGCAATCAGCCCGTGATCTGGCCTTTAGGTACCCAGATGCTAGATTTGAAGGAGTTTTTATTCAGGGGATTATTCTTGGAGCCCCATTTGTTCCCAGATAGTTAACTCAGTTTCTTTAGAGAGATGTGTGTGTGTGTGTGGGTGTGGGTGTGGGTGTGTGGGTGTGTGTGTGGGGGGGTGTAACACATGTATTCACTCCTATGCTTGGGGAAAAAGTGTGAGCCTGGGAGAAAGCAGAAGGTCCCCAGGAGCAGTTGTCTGTAGACAGTCAAGTAATTGACCAGCCTTTGCGGGCCCCCTGCTCACATCTGGAGCCTCTCCACACTCCACTGGACAGAAGGCTAGCTAAGCCCTGGTTGCCCCTTCTGCTTCCATCTCATCCAAAGTCTCTTGTCCTCTTTCCAGCTCACAGAACTTTGTACCTCTTTTATCCAATGATATCTCTTCCTGATACCCTTGATGTTGAAAGGCTTGTCTTTTTGAGACTTTCTTTGTTATTATTTTAATGGCATTTTGAAAAGGAGGAGGAATAAAACTACATTCTCAGTTCTCTATCTGAGGTGGGAAAAATGAATTTTCCTTGGGTAACCAGTGTTCCTCATTGATGGATGTCTTCATTTGTTGTTGCCTGGTAAAATATCAAGCAGATGACATCAAACAGTTTCCCTTAATAGGTCCAAGAAAAACAGCTTGTCCCAACGAAGGTCGTGCTTTTAGGCGATATTGTCAGCTTTCCATGAGATTGTTGCCAAACCTTCCTGTAGGGCTGGAGAAGAATTTGCACACATTGAGGGCTCGGGGAGCACTTCTTCTCCAGCTGGCTTTGTGGATTTTTTTTGGCATTGGCTCCATTTGGAGAATACAGAATCCAAATGACAGAGCTTCACTTGAGAAAAGAGGAGACTCCCTAGACCGGTGAAAAATTGGCGTGCAATGCCACAGGGCAGAAATTGAGTACAAAGTAACATCCTATAACCTGGTAGAGAACAAGCACTTCCTGTGCCCATGTGGGAATTCTAGATCTGGATGGATATGAATGTGTCCCTTGGAAGGGCCAGGTTCTTTCATTCATTCACCAGATAATCTACTGAGCTGTCGCCTGAGTGAGGAGCTGTACTGGTTGCTGTAGATTCAGCAGTAAACCATCTGGGCCTGCCCTGGCTATGAGGAGCTTACATTCCAGTGGGCAGCTAGAATAAAGCAGGCAAGTAAATAAACGGGAGGCTTTGGAAAGCGTGAAGATACTACCATGGCATAACGTGACTGAGAGGGAAGCCCTGTCACATCCCACAATCAGAGGAAGCCTCCGCTGGGAGGTGAATTCCAGCCTGGGACCTGGATGATAAAGACCCAAGCCAAGGAAGCCTGAGAGGAAGAGTTCTTGAGGCAGAGGGGCCTGAGCTCGTGTACTTGAGGGTCTGAGGGCTTGTGGGATTAGAATGGGTGGGGCTTTGTACGCCACTGGTGGGGTATTGTCTGTGTTCTGAAATGCAGTTCAGAAGTTCAAAGGTTGGAAGCCTTTGCTCTGAGGGCAGTGGGCAGCCCTGGGCCCATGCTAAGCAGGAAGTAGTAAGGGAGGCCTGTTAAGAAGAGCTGTCTGAGGGCTTAGGTCGCTCTGCTCCCTACCTCACGGCCTTCTTTCTGAGCGGGCTGCTTGTGGCTCACCAGAGCTTTCTTAGAGGAAGTTTGCCTGGCAAACAGAAGTAAGACTATCACAGCACTGTAACTGAGGTAACCCTGGCCCCAAACCTCAGCCACTCTCCCACACTGTCCTGTCTTACCAACCTTCTTATCATTCCTAAAATTGCCGTGTGTGTCATCCTCAGGAACCAGTGCCGGCCACTACCTGGCCATCACCCTGGCTCCGGAAATGTGTGCCACCTAGTGAGAGAAGTCCTGTCCTACCTCGAGTCATGCTGATGCTGTGGATGCCCCACCTTTCCAGGTGGCCCCTTGACCACCAGTCCATGCCCTGGGCAGGCTGGAGATGGGGGAAGGCGCTCTCCCACCCAGGGGCAGCCGCAGCAAGGCCCGAGGAAGTAACTGTAGAGGGTCAGCCCTCCATATCCACGGGTTCCACAGCATGCATTCAATCACCTGCAGGTTGAAAATATTTAGGAAACACAATTGCTTCTGAATTGCACGTGTAGACTTTTTCTTCTTGTCATTATTCTCTAAATACAGTGCAATAGCTATTTACACAGCATTCACATTGTATTGAATATTTTTATTTTGTGGTACTGGGGATTGAATTCAGGGGCGTACACCTTGAGCCACTCGCCAGCCCTTTTATTAAATTTCTTTTATTCATATGTGCATACAATGTTTGGGTCATTTCTCCCCCCTTCCCCCCACACTACCAGGCAGAAACTATTTTGTCCTTATCTCTAATTTTGTTGAAGAGAGAGTATAAGCAATAATAGGAAGGAACAAGGGTTTTTGCTGGTTGAGATAAGGATAGCTATACAAGGAGTTGACATGCATTGATTTCCTGTGTGTGTGTGTTACCTTCTAAGTTAATTCTTTTTGATTTAACCTTTTCTCTAGTTCCTGGTCCCCTTCACCTATTGGCCTCTGTTGCTTTAAAGTTTCTGCATTAGGTCCTTTGCATTGAGGACATTAAATGCTATCTTGTTTTTTTGTGTGTTTCTTGCCTATCCTCACACCTCCCTTGTGTGCTCTCGCCTTATCATGTGATCAAAGTCCAATCCCCTTGTTATGTTTGCCCTTGATCTAAAGTCCACATATGAGGGAGAACATACGATTTTTAGTCTTCTGGGCCTGGCTAACCTCACTCAGGATGATATTCTCCAGTTCCATCCATTTACCTGCAAATGATAAGATTTCATTCTTCTTCATGGCTGAGTAGTATTCCATTGTGTATAACTACAACATTTGCTTAATCCATTAATCAATAGTGGGGCATCTTGGCTGTTTCCATAACTTGGCTATTGTGAATAGTGCTGCAATAAACATGGGTGTGCAGGTGCCTTTGGAGTAACCTGTGTCGCATTCCTTTGGGTATATCCCCAAAAGTGGTATTGCTGGATCATATGGCAAATCTATGTTTATTTATTTATTTATTTATTTATTTTATTATTCATATGTGCATACAATGCTTGGGTCATTTCTCCCCCCTGCCCCCACTCCCCCCCTTACCACCCACTCCACTGCCTCCCTCTCCCTCCCACCCCCTCAATACCTGGCAGAAACTATTTTGCCCTTATCTCTAATTTTGTTGAAGAGAGAGTATAAGCAATAATAGGAAGGAACAAGGGGTTTTTGCTGGTTGAGATAAGGATAGCTATACAGGGAGTTGACTCACAGTAATTTCCTGTGCATGTGTGTTACCTTCTAGGTTAATTCTTTTTGATCTAACCTTTTCTCTAGTTCCTGGTCCCCTTCACATATTGGCCTCAGTTGCTTTTAAGGTATCTGCTTTAGTTTCTCTGCGTTGAGGGCAACAAATGCTAGCTAATTTTTTAGGTGTCTTACCTATCCTCATATCTCCCTTGTGTGCTCTTGCTTTTATCTTGTGCAGATCTATGTTTAGATATTTAAGAGGCCTCCAGATTTTTTTCAGAGTGGTTGTACTAGTTTACATTCCCACCAGCAGTGTAAAAGGGTTCCTTTTTCCCCACATCCTCGCCACCACCTGTTGTTAGTGATGTTGCTAATGATGGCTATTCTAACAGGGATGAGGTGGAATCTTAGTGTGGTTTTGATTTGCATTTCCTTTATGGCTAGAGATGGTGAGCATTTTTTCATGTGTTTTTTTTGGCCATTTGAATTTCTTCTTTTGAGAAAGTTCTGTTTAGTTCACTTGCCCATTTCTTTATTGGTTCATTAATTTTGGGAGAATTTAGTTTTTGAGTTCCCTATATATTCTGGTTATCAGTCCTTTGTCTGATGCGTAGCTGGCAAATATTTTCTCCCACTCTGTGGGTGGTCTCTTCAGTTTACAGACTATTTCTTTTGTTGAGCAGAAACTTTTTAGTTTTATGAAGCCCCATTTATCTATGCTATCTCTTAGATCCTGAGCTGCTGGGGTTCCATTGAGAAAGTCCTTGCCTATATCTATTAATTCCAAAATATTTCCTACTCTTTCCTGTACCAACTTTAGAGTTTGGGGTCTGATATTAAGATCCTTGATCCATTTTGAGTTAATATTGGTATAGGGTGATAAACATGGATCTAGTTTCAGTTTTTTGCAGATTGCTAACCAGTTTTCCCAGCAGTTTTTGTTGAAGAGGCTGTCTTTTCTCCATTGTATATTTTTAGTGCCTTTGTCAAAGACAAGTTGGTTATAGTTGTGTGGCTTCATATCCGAGTCCTCTATTCTGTTCCACTGGTCTTCATTTCTGTGTTTGTGCCAGTACCATGCTGTTTTTATTGTTATTGCTTTGTAATATAGTTTGAAGTCGGGTATTGTGATACCTCCAGCATTGTTCTTTTTGTCAGCCCATTTTTGTGATTGATTTTTTTCAAGATAGGGTCTGGCGAACTATTTACCCAGGATGGCTTAGAACTGCAATCCTCCTGATCTCTGCCTCCTGAATAGATAGGATTACAGGTGTGAACCACTGGCTGTACTGAATATTCAAAGTAATCTGGATTTGATTTTTCAATACACACAATTATATGCAAGGACTTTCCCATCCATGTAGGGTCTTGAGCATCTGAAGACTTGGGGGATCTGCAAGAAGTGGTGGAGGTGTCCTGTGTCACAGCTATAATCCTCGCAGGATACCAAGGGAGCCTGAGTGTCTTGCTCTGGCATGGGGTCTCTCTAGGGTGTGGCCTTTCAGAAGTCCCTGGAGATTCAGAATCTGGGTTGCCCATAGCATAAACTCTCATGAACATACCCTGAGTTGGCAGCCTTCTCTTCTCTTGTTTCTTCTACCTGTTCTGTACTTTCTGGGCTCACCAACTGTGTTAGTTTGCTAAGGCTGCTGTGGCAACAAGCCTGGTGGCGTAAAACAAGAGAAATTCATTCTCCCTCAGTTTTGGAGGCCAGAAGACTACAAAGAAGGTGTAGGCAGCTGTGTTCCCCATGAGGCTTCAGGGACACCCTTCCTGTCCTCTCCCAGTTTCTGGTGGCTGCTAGCCTTCCTTGACTTGTCGCTACAACACTGCAGCCTCAGCCTCTGTCTTCACATCCCCATCTCTGTTCTGTGTTTTTCCCTCTTCTGTTTCTTATAAGGACATCTTGTCATTGGGTTTAGGACCCATGCAGGTCATCCAGGATGACCTTAAATTCCTTAATGATACCTGCAAAGACCCTTTTTCCAAATGAGGTACCATTCCCAGGTTCCAGGAGTATGGATATGGACATATCATTTGTGGGGTGGAGTAGGGGCTTTATTCCACCTACCCTAATGTACTATTAATCACACTCAAGTTTTGGGGTTGACTTCTGGAGGATCTTGGCCTACTGTGTGTCACACCAAGCCATCTACTGAGTCTGGCATGCTTGATGGCTTTGCAGGCTCTTGTGGGGGTTGAGCTTTCAGTTGCTTCTTGGCCATGGGTGGAGTGGTGCGAAAAGGGGATCAGGGTGCAGGACCCAACCAATCTCTAGCAGTTAAGCTTCTCAGGTGAAATGGGAGTTTGAATGGGCTCCAAGACAGACATCAAGTGTTGCAGTGGGCTGATTCTCACCATCTGGAGTGCCAGGGAACTGGGGAAGTAATTACTGCTTGTTTTGAAAGACAAAGGAAGTTTTTAGAACAACACCGCCCCCCCACCAGGTGTATCTTTATTTCTGGTCGCCAGGCTGAGAGGCAGGCCTCCTTTGTGTGTGGCCCCAGGGGAGTGGTCATTCCAAAAGGCTGCCTGGGAAGGTGGGGCAGCAGGACCCAAAGGTGGAAAGGGCTCTGACAGTGGCTGTGCTCCTTCACAACAGCTCAGTGGACTGCTGCAAGTGTGCGTGCGAACAGGAACAGAGACTCAAGCCAAGTTCACTTCTGTGGAGCAGTTAAGGGAGTATATTTCGGTAAGATGTGAGTGCATGAAAGAGGAGGGACAGGTTTCCTCCTGGGGGACTTGGACAAGTATTCAAATGGATCTTTTATTTGTATGCTTGGTATTTTTTGGCAGTCCTGGGGTTTGAACTCAGGGCTTTGTGCTTGCTAGGCAGGCGCTCTACCGTGTGAGCCACACTTCCAGCCCTCAAGGGAATTTTTTTAAAAAACCAAATCTGACTATACCACCTCTTCTTAAAACCTGTATTTATAATACAGTCTAAAATTCTTTTTTTATTCTTTATGATGGTACTGGGGTTTGAACTCAGGGCCTCACACTTGCTACACTTGAGCCATACTTCCAGCCCTAATCTAAAATTCTTGATGTTGAATGTGAAATTTTTTTTCTAAAATATAGTTCTTTAACAGCAGTAAAGAATTACACAGAAAAGGCTTACATTGCTTTCTAAAAATTAATATTTGATTAAAGTTGTAAATTGAAAAGCAAAAACAATGTAACTTTTTTGAAAGCTTTTCTGTTCAACTTACAAATACTGCCATTCTTTTGAAAAGAAGTCTAACTAAATCAGCAGTCACTTTTAAGGGCTTTTGAATAGCATGTGGCCCCACTCACAGACTTAATTAAACACTTTAAAGCATCCTAAACCGCATTTTAAAATTTAATACATTTAATTTTCCATTTAAATACCTCAGTGGTCTGATTCAACAAATGAAACTTCTTGAGTTTGTATAAATCTAATAAATTAAAACTTGTAAGTATAGTGAGCTTTAAACTCTCAAGGTAGTTCCAAGGCCGTATATAAACAGTAAGATTATAACTTAAAATCATGCTTGAATCAGTTATTCAATTATGTATTTGAAAGTAGAATTACAAGCCCACACTCTATGACTATTATAAATACTTGAAGCACAAAATATACGGATTCCTTAAACTAAAAATATTCCTGTTACAGTATTAAATATTTTTAATTTAAATGTTTTTATTCGTAGAGCGCTAGGCCATCCTGACCAGCTCAAATATTTTTATTCTTAATTCTAAATCTTTTAGAGGCTAAAGTACTCTCAAAGAATGCAATAATTTTCTCAGCTAATTGAGATTGCTTATGTATCAAACTGAGATTCGAGCTGGTCATTCCTCCCTGGTGGAGCTCATGGGACTCTTGTTTCTAGCAGCTCATAGAAGTCCTAAGGTAAGAAGAGGAATTGGTCTTGTAATGACACCAAGCTGATCCTAATTAGACTTTGAGTTTCTTGGACTCTTATGAAGGAAACTTTAAGGTCTTTTCTATTGAACTCTAAAGACCTTTGAACTTGACCCCTTTATTTTTGTCATCCTCCTACCAGTTACTGTGATGACTGGTAGATACTGAAATGATATCTGATTGAGTTCTGCAAATCTCAAGGCTCAGTCTGACCCTGTCACACAGTCTTGGTTACACTGCTGACACTTGCCCAGGTCCATAAGGCTTAGTGTGAACTGTGAGCTGTGAGCTGCCCTGTTGCTTTCCCCCTCCTCCCATCCATCCCTTGTTCACCAAGCTCCAGACACTTGACTTTTCTTCCTATTCCTCAAATTGTGCAACCTCATTCTAGTTCTAGCCTCAGGCCTTTGCACTAGCTGTCTCCCTGGTCTGGAAGGCTCTGGACCCAAGTCCTCTGTACCTGGTATTTTCTCAGCATTTCAGGTCTTGGCACTAATGTCACACCCTCATTGATACCTTCTTCAACTCTCAAGTTTCTCTGCTTATACCACATGCCATATTCTGCATTCTGTTACAGCATTCTGTTTTACTGTCTGCATTTCCACTAGAATGTGTTTCTTGAGAATAGGGTTCTTATTGGTCTAGTTCACCACCAAGAATATCAGTACTGAGAATTGTGTGAAGGAATTGATAAATAAATGGAAAACAAGCAGCTATTGGTTCTGCTTTTCAGACCTGTGTTCCTGAGCAGACTCATCCCCTCAAGGTGGGGACCTGTCCTGAGGACTGGCCGAGCCGTGGGGAGATCACTTTCAAAGACTATCGGATGCGATACAGAGATAACACCCCCCTTGTTCTTGATGGGCTGAACCTGAACATCCAGAGTGGGCAGACTGTAGGGATTGTTGGAAGAACAGGTTCCGGTGAGGAGAGCTCTGTTTTGTTTCTTTCCAGTTGTTTTCTTTGAATTTCCACCAAGTGTGCCAGTTAAACCACACCAGAGAGTGGTGTGTATGTGTGTTGGACTGACTGTTATTTTCCCTCAAATCTCTTTATTGTAAATTAGGATTTCAGGTTGAATGGTGTGTAGAGTTGGAAGCAAACACACACCAGTGTTTGAATTAATTAAATGAGAGTCATTCTGGTGAAATGAAACCCAGAGGATGAGCCGTGGGCCAGAGGGCCCCAGCAGGGTCATGCAGGTTAGCCATGTTAGGGCCACCTGCCACCCCCAGAGTGAGAAATGTCTGCCAGCACAGTCATCCACACAGTCATTCTTATGGTATTAAAAATTCCTTTCATTAAATGTCTGGATATGATGAAAGTACAAACTGGTGTTTGATTTATTGTTCTTGCTTGCACTGTTCCCAGGGAAATCATCCCTGGGAATTGCCTTGTTCCGCCTGGTGGAGCCAGCCAGTGGCACCATCTTTATTGACGAGGTGGACATCTGCACTGTGGGCTTGGAGGACCTCCGAAGCAAGCTGACTATGATCCCCCAGGATCCTGTCCTGTTTGTAGGTACAGTAAGGTAGCTGTTTTTGATCATCATGCATTCCTATTTTGTGGATAGTGAAATGAGACCAGCCGAGAGCTTTGTGGAGTCCCCAGGGTATGGCTGGCCTGGACTGTCCTATCTCAGGGAAGCTGCATCCCCACTGCTGGTAGCTTTTTTTTTGAGTAAAGCCTTGGGAAGAGCTGACCCTTACCAGTATTTCAGAAACTACATTTTTAATAGGCAGATGCTTCTACACACAAGGTGAGCAGAGCAGGTATCCCAGTAGCCCTGGATAGTCCTATTTTATGCTTGTGTCCCAGAATTCCATTGGCTTAGCGAAGTACCCCAGAGTACACAGTAGAAGAAATGGTATGCCTATGTATGTAGGCATCTCCAGAAAACAGCATTAATTCGTTGCTAGGAAAGAGAAAACAGAAGCTGTTTGACTAAAGAACTTCTCCAAGCGCAGGGGATACCACTGCTTCTTAGCTGGTCCCTTGAGAGAGACAGTCCTCCCATTCAGCACCAGGTGAAGTGGGGAGCTGTTTTTTCTGTTCATAGAGCTGACTGTATGAAAAGCACAGCGAGCATCTTGAGACACTAGGCTCCCCTCCTATCTGTGAGAGGCTCAACCCTCTGGGAGGCCATGGGAGTAGACCATTTGCCTCTTGCCTCTGAAGGCTGAGCGAATGGAATGCCAGTTTGAATTGCTCACTCTCCCTCTTTCTGCCAAGAATTTGTGTGAGGGCAAATCTACTTTGCTACACAGAGACGTGGAGAGGCCTGAGTGTGTCTTCCCGAGCGTCTGCCTCACCTTCCCTGCCTGCCTTTGCATTCTCTGCTACATCACACAGGTCCTCAAGGGCTGGGCTAAGCGCTGATCTTGGAGCCAAGGGCTCCTTGCTTCCCACCTCCTGTTCTTCTCTATGTTCTGCAAGGAAGAGGCCATTGTCTAGCCTTTCTCAGCTTCTAGAGGCCAACTGTGTGCCTTGGCCCCAGGCCCCATTCCTGGCCTCACATCTCACCTCTTCAGAACGCTCCCCCTACACCCCCTCCCCCTTTCTCTTGTTCCTAGAAATCCAGCTGCCTCTTCTTTCCTTCATTGTAGATTCAACTTGGATCCCTTTGGGAGCCACACTGATGAGACGCTCTGGCAAGTTCTGGAAAGAACATTCATGAGAGACACGGTAGGTCTCTGTGGCTGTAAAGGATAAGCCCCTTCCCCAGCCACCAGTGATTCACATGCCTGACCTGGTTTAAATGTGACACTTGGCCACAGAGGTCAAGAGAATACAATCCTTGCTTCTCTTATTATCAGAAGCAAGCATAGGTACCTGTGTCAGGGCTCTGCACCCATGCAGTCAGGGGCTCTAAATGCGTCATCTCACTCACTTCTTAGACATTCCTCTGAGGTTGGTACTCTCACCCTTTGCTTCAAAGATTCCAAGAATTAAAGTTCAAGGAAGTGATGTGTCCAGGCCAGTAAGTAGCATAATGGAGACTTAAACCCAGCTCCATCTGATTCTGGGGTACAGGAATGCCCTATGACTCTGCCCGTGTCCCCACTGGCTTATCAGAACAGATGAGCCACATAAAAATGACAAGGTGTGGTAGGTGTGTTTGGTTTGAGGGGACTGAGCCGTCCATGACATGGGACCCTGTTCTATTGGAGTTGCAGCCACGGCTGGATTCAGCCGTGTGCCATACCCAACTCTGCAGCCCGGTGGTGCCAAGGCAAGCCCTCCCCAAGCCATTCTGCCTTGCTGCCCTGGATAATCAAACCTTATCTTGCCCTCCCTAGAAATCTCTATTTTGCCCATGAAAATAGCGACTCTGAAAGCCCTTTCCACTTGTTTGTGTGTTCCCTGGAACCGCACACGCATCATTTGTACTCTTTTGGTGAGTTGTCTGTGGGGTTCTATGAGTCATACTGTGATCGTAAATTATTAACGTCCGCCTACTCCCTGGTCGCTCCCTTGTGCCTGTTTGCAATATTGAAGTGATTGTTGTTCTGTGCTTTCTTTCTACAGTAAAATAAAGCAAGCTGATGAATGCAAGAGAAGGGGGCAATCAATACAGACGATGCAGAACAATTTTATAGATCATCAGCATAAATGTGGCATTTTCTATGTTTTATAGATAATGAAACTCCCGGAAAAATTACAGGCAGAAGTCACAGAAAATGGGGAAAACTTCTCAGTAGGGGAACGCCAGCTGCTTTGTATGGCCCGAGCACTTCTCCGTAATTCAAAAGTAAGGAAACAGCATGAAAAATGGATTGGTCAAATTTTGGATATTTCCTGCAGCGTTGTTCAATCCAGGAGGAAGAAGCCATGCGTTTGTCTTTCAGCAAAGACAGAGCAATTGAGGCATTTAAAAACCAATCGGTTTTTCTTCAGACAAGGTTGTAAGGAGTAAAAATTGGAAAATAACAGCCATTTACAGCAACAGCACCTTCCTCCCTGGGCCTCGCCCTGGGAGGTCCCACTTAGATATTCTCTCTGCTCACCTAAGTGGTTTAACTTTGAAAAATCTGCCTCTCAACTTTTTTCCTTTGTTCCTGAACAATACTGAGTCCTCAGGAACAGTACCCAGGACTCTCACGAAGGCCATCAGAATACCAGCATCAAAGATTTGTAAACTTTATACCTCTTTTTCTTAGTGACTTAGCCAGCCTCACTTACTGATTTCAAGGAAAGGAATGTCACTGTTTTAGAAATCCTATCTTCTGACTCTTCATCAAAGGTGTAACTTTGTGTGTGTTCTCTAGCTGCACTAGTGGGAGGGGAAAGGGAACCAGGATGCATTTGAGCCTGCTGTCGCTATACTCATGGCTAAGGGTTATGTGTTTTTGGGTTTTGTGCAAAATAATAAGGTGTGGTCCCCTTTTACATATGAGCAAACAGAGCCTCATAGAGGTTTAGTAACTTGGCCAAGACCAAGCAGAGTTAGGGGTTGAGGTTAAGCCCTCTGGCTTGTAAAATCCAATTAGCACTTTGGTAAGTAGAAAAATGCTCCTTCCTACCTTCTGAAAGAGGTGTCTGTGCCATGATATCGCAACTTGTGAATATGTTCCCAAAAGGAACTTTGAAGATATGATTAGGTTAAAGATCTTGAGATGAAGAGATTGTCCTGGCTCGGGGAAGGCCTAGTCTAGTCACATGTGCCTCTATAAGAGAGTCAAAGCTAGAGGGGCAAGGAAAAAACAGGTGTCCTGTAGAAGCTGGAAAAGGCAAGGGTTTCTTCCCAAGAGCCTGCAAAAAGGATTCCTGCTTCTAGAGTGGTAAGATTACGAGTTTGTGCTGTTTTAAGTGTCTACGTTTGTAGTAATCTGTTACTGCAGCAGTAGCAAACAAATGCAAGTGTTGTTATGCACACCCCATGCGGTTAGTACAGTACAGAAAGCTTATGGTTCTTTCCTATCCGTTTGTAGTGTTAGAGTAACCACTTAAACAGAGGAGTGAAGAATACACAACCTTGTTTCTCCAGTAAGTCCTCTGACAAAGATGAATGTGGTGTGATTTCACCTTAATCTCACTGTCTTTTTTGTAACTTTGTAAGATGGATGCTTAGTTCACAGTCTGTTTTCTTCTTTTTAATAAATAGCACCGAGACTATAAATTTCCCCCTTGGCATGGCATTGGCTTAGCATGATTTTGCAATGTTTCTTCCTTGATAGATTATTCTCCTTGATGAAGCCACCGCCTCCATGGACTCCAAGACGGACACCCTTGTTCAGAGCACCATCAAAGATGCCTTCAAAGGCTGCACGGTGTTAACCATCGCCCACCGCCTAAACACTGTTCTCAACTGTGACATTGTCCTTGTCATGGAAAATGGGAAGGTGCAGGAAGCTCTGCTTGGCTTCGCCTCCTCAAAGGCTTCTTTGGTTTGGGTTTTATGGTGAGAGCATATTTTCTGAAAATTTCTGTTGTTTGTTTCTGTCTTTCAGGTGATCGAGTTTGATAAGCCCGAAGTCCTTGCTGAGAACCCCGATTCTGCATTTGCAATGTTGCTAGCAGCAGAAGTCAGGTTGTGAGGTTCCCAGCAGCAAACTGGAAGGCAGGAGGGGGCAGAGTCTGTGGGGAGGAGGGGCTGTCATCTCAACAGGCAGCCCTGGCCACAGCCCCTCCTACCCATGCAGTAAGGGCTGAGCTGGGTTGAGAGGTGACTCTTCCCTACTCGTGCCTCTTCACCTTGCTTGGAGGCTTGGGGTTGGTCCTGGGTGGTAAACAGAGGCAGATGAAGCTAGTGGGTTAAAAAACTGCCCCTCACCTCCTAAAAGCCCAAGTCCTTCATGTGTCCCACCAATACCACCTTAGTGCCTGAGAATGGAAATATTACAACTTCCTGTTAAAAGCCAGTCGAAGCAAAGAGAATGAGAAGATGTGCAGGCATGGGGTTTGCAAAGGCTTCCTTGCATTGTTATCAGAGAGCAAAGAGCAGAGTGTTCTTTCTGCTTAATTTCTATTCACTTCTGTCTTGACTCTGTGACAAGCAGTAACTACACAGATCTGTAGTGTGAAAGATTGTAGTGTCTGGCAAAAAATTTTTAAAAGTCATATTGTATGTTCCAATTGATCTGTTAAAATAACCAGGGAAACAAAAGGCTGGGGTTTCTCTATAAATGACATTTTTATATCTTCTTTATTTGTCATTAAAATGCAATAGGAAATTAAACTATCCCGAAATGTCGTCCTGCAGTTATTTTACTGAAAATATTCTGGTTTTTGTGCTATTTTTTCACATAGACCCTCACTGCCATCTCCCTTGACTCAGTAATAAACCTACACCATTTTTCACCAAATAAAATGCTTTCTTTCTATTCTCAAGGTTTGTTTTGTAGCCCCAAAGTGTTGCTAGTTTATGGTGACATTTGGGGGAAAAACATAGTCTGTGGGGCTCTTGTGTAGTTTTTGCCAAGGTGTGCACCCACAGTTTTGGCCAGTTTTCCTTCCTTGTGACACAGGGCCCTCAGGGCATTCCATGAGGTTCCCTGCACTTTCTTTGCAGCCCTCAGACCAAGACCCTAATTATGGCATGGGCAGTGTAGTCAACAGAGTTTCCCCTGGATGCTCTTCACTTTATTCCCTTCTGAGTCCTGGCTACATACTCCTCCTACCCTGCAAACATGGAGAATGGTAGTGTCTGGCACACAGGAGCAGTCAAGAAATACTTGTGGTGTGTACAAATGGTAATGTCTGTTGTGCTCATTCAAACACAACCAGGAAGCCTGGTGAGTCACCTGTGTATGAAGGATTAATCTAGAGACTAGCAGACAAGCTCACAGCCAGCATCTCCAGGCTGGGACTTGTGGGGATTCCAGTCACTCTGAGAAACCAGAGGCGAGGCCTCTACAGGTCCCCCAGGTGGAGCTCCCAGATTGGCAATTGTGTTAAAGCCCTCACTCATAAAGCCCTCTATTGGGAAGTTTGGCATGGATTCTGCCATCTGCAGACAGTGTGCTCCCAGAAGGATATGGCCACAAAGGGAGGCTCCACACTAAACACGGACTCCCCATGAAGGGACACTGAGTTTTCATGTGATCAATGCTTCCCCCAATCTGAGGTGGTCATACTGTCTTCACAGGGCTCTGAGGCAGGATGAGAGTGGCTATCTTTTTTATGGATGCCCAGTGACTCTCCTGACCTTGCAACCCAACCTAGCAGCCCTCTCCCCATGGGAATCCACACCAGCTTTGATGTGGGAGAGGGATGCTTGGTTTTCTGCCAATTTGGCACCAGCCAGACAATCAGTTTGTGATTTCAAGGTGTTTCTAAGAGGATCAGGGCAGGCTACCATGATCTCTGCTGCTTGTTCAGACATCTCAAGGCATGAGTCACCTCCTGCTGCTCCTTTTCTGCCCACTCTCCTCAGCTGTACTAGGAGAGAAAAATACTGATATTGATCATGACATCTGCAGAGCCCTTGTAATGTGCCAAACTCTGTGATAAGCATTTCTGTCATAAATCATTTCACTGAGTCCTCACCTCACACTGTGAGATGGATGCAGTGGTTCATCAAGGTTAGGAAATTGATTACAGGTACCCAGGAAAGAAGGACAGTCTGACCACCACAGAGCCCCTCCTGCCCTTTTCCCTTGGCCTATTGTGTGGGCAGTGATAGTTGTCAGCATCACACCCTATCACTTCCTGAGGGGTGATTACTGGCTATAGAATATAGAACAGTCCAATAAAATCCCCTGACACCCTAGCACCTACTGCACGCATGATCAGCTAGAGAGAGACGGTGTTTAACAGTAATAACTGACATTAAACCAGTAAGCTTAGTTCTTAGAATCCTTACTATATATCCCTGGAGAATGACATTTCTAGAGTGGATGCCTGCCAAGATCTGAAGGTTTGTGTCCCTCATGTGGTAAAGCCAACTGGCCAGTACAATAGTGTCAGGAGTCAGGGCCTGTGGGAGGGGATTAGGTCATGAAGCAGAGTCCTTATGAATGGAATTAGTGGCCTTTAAAAGAGGTTTAAGATAACTTGTCCACAACTATTATGACAGGAGGACACAAAGAAGGCACCATCTGTGAAGCAGAGAGCCCTCACCAGGTACCGTGAGCAATAAATTTCTGTTTATAAATGACCCAGTCTAGAGTGTATTATTGTAACAGCCCAAACAGACTAAACAATACCAATGTAATATTACTGATGTGGAAACTGAGAAACTGAGGAAATAACTTGACCAAGTTAAGCCCACTGGGGAGATTTGAACCCTGGTAGGCTGACCCTAAAACCTGTGTTTTAAATTCCATGTAATATTGCTGGCAGCCTGATATTCTTCAGGTGAGAAAGAACACAGTGTTTGGGTGTTGTAAAGCTTGTGTATTGGTCAGGATGGAATCAGTTATGCTGCAGTAACAAATGACCCTAGATCTCAGTGGTTTATTTCTTGTTCATGTGACATGTCTATTACAGGCAACTATGGCTGTATTTCTTATTCTCTTCACTCTTTGAGCATGCTGACAGAGCAGTCTCTGCCTGGAACATCACCAGCCTTGGGGCACAGGGTAAACAGACATGGCAATCAGAAGTGACAGCTGCCACTTTCATCCATATTTTCTGAGCAAAATAAGTCACACTGCCACTCCTGAGTTCAACAGTGTGTGAGACGTGGTATACACTGTATCTGCAGGGAGGAGTGCCACAAGGCACAACCGTTAAGCTTGTTTCTGAAGGAAGTTGTATAATCTTCCTTTTAGGAGGCAGCAAATACTCGGAATGGTATTGAATCTACTGCCACCTGAGCTTGGGTCTGGGTTCTGCCACAGGGTGGCAGTGTGATCTGCCTTCTCTCCGCCTCCACTCCCTTGTTTGTAAACTTTGGGGTTTGGACTGAGTGCTAAGACCTTCTCAGTCCCAACTTTCAATTTAGGAGAAACAAAAAGGAGATGTGAGAACAGTTTCTAGGGGGCTAGCAGTGGAATTTAGATATTCAGAGAGGCGAAGTACCCCCTCAATGTAATTAATGTTTTCTTAAATGTTCAATTTGTAAAGTAAATTGAACGAATTTTATTCAGGTTCTGAGTCTTCCCTTAGCATCTACTCTGATGCTCGGTAGGACATGCACTCTTTGAAGTTTTACTCTCATTTATTTCTGTGCTCGATTCATCTGCCTGTTGGGTGATCTTATGCTCAATGTTATAAATGAGAATCTCCTGAATATCCTTTGTTAGATGCCAGCAAAGAATGGAAGAAGCCACTTAAATTGTCACTATAAATTAGTAAACTGCCTGTGACACGTTTCACAGTCAATTGTGTCCTGTTGGAGGATAGCTGTTATCCGGCAGGGATGAGCAATGACAGCCTACCTGCTTATACAATTAAAGCTTTATTGGAATGCAACCAGGCTTGTTTGTTGACACATTATCTATGTCAGCTTTCACAATTCTAATGGCAAAATAGAGTAGTTGTTACTAAATGTATAACCTCAAAGACACAAATGTTTATTATCCTGGCCCTTTACAGAGTAAGTTCTCTGACTCCTGGTTTTTGGCACTGGCACGTTGTCTTATTCACATGAGAAGAAAATGTACTGGTTGTTCGGGTGGGATGTGGAGGGCATTCCACTCCACTGTTTTATCTATATGTGGTATTTGAAGCAATGGCAGCCATGCTCTCAGAGGAAAGGAACAGATGGACAGAGCACCAGCCCTTTCTTAGGACATTAAACTGCTGATTACCAATCCCACAGTCACCTTACCTCCTTGCCTTGTTACAAGAGGAAACCTTTTTCCTATTGTGTAAGCCAGCTCAAGTGTTATCTGCAGCCCAAAGCATCATAAATGGTATAGAAGGTAGAAGACTCAGGCTGTCCTCCTCCTGGGATGATGATGATCTTGACCTGAGGAAAAGAGAGCCACAGCCAAACATGTAATTCTTCCTCCAACTTACATGTGGCTCAAGCAAGCATTAGTTCACATCCAACTCATACCTCTCCCCAAACCTTTGTGCCCCACCCCCTTACTGACCCGGGTCAGTAGGCATCAGCACTCATACATTTTATTCTACTCTATTCAAGTCAACAAAACTGAAGTTGGCTCAGAATTGTTGGTAAAATGTGAGCTCTTCTTTTCCAAGGACTGGAATCGCTTTGGCTGGTATAGCATGATTTAAAATGAATTGAAAAATGCAGGAGGTCAATTTAAGGTTAGATGGAAGATCAAAGAAATCACTTTTCTTTTGGCCATGTGTAGAAGGTCAGCCTGGGTAAGGCTAAATTGAGCACTAAACTCTTCAAATAAATGCTGATTTCCATGGAGAGTCCTTGCCTGATTCCATGAGGTGGGTGTTCATGGCTTTGCTGAAAAGCTGTTGCTCTGGGGGACCAGCATTAAAGAGCCAGACCAAGTCAAGTCAGCCTCTACTGTTTTAGCACAAAACACGGCCAGCCAAATTGATCTTCATCTGAAATTAACCTCCTCCCGCAAAAAAAAAAATCTAAGGTTAGGTTGTGGCAATTGTTTTTCAGTATCTTTAAATTTTTTTTTCTTATTGTCAAATATATTTAAAGCAAATGTACTATTTTAAGTGTACTGTTCAGTGGGCATT